GCTATGGGTGACCCGGTCGACGATGTAAGGAACAAACAAAAGGACCCATTTTGTTTTCTTATTAATCGCTTGTGAACTCTGATAAACCCTGGAGTTAAAACACCAGAGTACCGTCCCCTACTCTACGTCTGCTAGTCTGATAACAGTGGAGGCTGTACTGCTGAACTGTACATATCATCTCTGGTTTAGAAATACCTTCCTTAACGTCTTTTACCGAGATTCTCCAAATATGTGACTATACACACATATAAAAGGTAAGTATGGTTACTGAATTATTGTTAGCAACATCAAAAACTTCTTAGCTTCTTCTTCTTCTTCTTCGTTCACCGGCTGTGAATTCCGGCGGAAGGTCCCGGATCGTCCGCTTGGACTTTTGGCGTTTACCTGGACCTAAGTTTTGCGTGTTCAACCGTTTTGCTGTTCCCTGCCTCGCGGGCAGATGTACTCCGACTTCGAGGGAAGACGTCAGGCCTATTTCTAGGATGACTGTGGCCATTTTTTTGTGTGTGGGTCGAGACGTTGCCTGATTTGTGTGGAGTTCTCTTTGTCGCCTTCTCCGCAGGTGTTGCCCCCGGAGTACCCCTTTGGGGCAGCCCCTTGTGGAACGGTTAGCCCTCAGGGTAAGGCAGGGGCAGATCATGGGCATTCCCCGCCATTCAAGAAGGCTTTCATGTATGCAGAGCCGGCACATGGCGCTCAGGTTCTGGGCTCACCCAAGGAATCGTCACGTCCTGCACATGCATGCTTAACCTCACAACCGTATAAGGCCTCCCGCTGCGCGCTCCGGAGATCAGCGGGGAGCAGCCCCGCTAGTTTTGGACTTTTGTGACCACACGAATAGGTACATTCTTTTTCTTCGCACGTTAGATATCTTTGACGAGCTGTTAGCACGAAAGAATTTAACATCCTGCCTCAGGCATATGGTTATCTGTTTGGTCCCAACACTCGGCGAGTGGGGTCTTAATGTGTGGACATTTGGACTTTTTCCCATTCAATAAGATTTGTGATGGTCGGATTTTGAGCTTACTCGTGTGCCTTAGGATCTAGTTTTGTCGGACATTTAGGCTTAGCCAGCCAATGGGCTGTTGTTGTTGTGGTGTACCTCAGCGCGGTGACGATGACACTGAGGGTTAACAGAGGATGTACATAGGTAGAATCTTGCTGCGAGACCCCACCCCCAGGAGATGTTACTCGTCTGGATCTAGTTTTGTTGGACATTTAGGCTTAGACAGCCAATGGGCTGTTGCTGTTGTAGTGTACCTCAGCGCGGTGACGATGACACTGAGGGTTAACAGAGGATGTACATGGGTAGAATCTTGCTGCGAGACGCCACCCCCAGGAGATGTTACTCGTCTGTGCTGCGGGTAAATCTCTAGGTCAAGGGTTGAGTCTGAAATGCATTGATAGGAATTTTCAATACAGAAAAAAAAAGCTAATGCAACTAAAGATTTAAAAAGCATGTTTTTATTTTTTTAGCTATCCTCCGAATAACGGTCCCAAATTATTGAGGCAGAAAATGTACCCTAACAGGGCCTTAGTGACATGTAAATTGCGGACTTCTGGCGACTACTGCCACCGTCAAGAGTACCTCCCACGCCGCTACGCGTGGTGTGGAGCAGGGCTAAACTAGGTGGCTGGGACTCACGAGCAAATAAAATAAAGCAAGCTGCTCGTGAGTCCCAGCCATCTAGTTTAGCCCTGTTCCATGTCACTCATAGCGGCGTGGGAGATACTTGTGGCGGTAGTTGCCGGAAGTCCGCAATTTAAGTCGCCGGGATTCCACAATTTACATGTGATTGAGGCCATGTTAGGTTATATTTTCCGCCTCGATGATTTGGGACCGTTATTCGGAGGATAACCTATTTTTTTAAAATTTCTTGGCGATAATGGATCGGGTTTAAATGAGCAAGTAATTAACTGTAAATGCTAAATATTATAAAACATCACTTGAAAGTTCAACGGAAAAAATAGAAAAGACGTTCATAAACACACAATTACAACGGAGAACATTTTGACAAATGTCTTTACCCTGGTGTTCTAGAAAAAAAAAGGGGGGGGGTGAGGTCACTTGCTTGGGATATTCCATTTTCAGCTCAAAGTTTTAGTAAGATGTCCCATTTCAGTTTATCAGGTCAAAATGGTATGGTCGCCCATACAATAAAAATTCCAGCTCTAGTATCTCATGTCTGGAAAAAAGTAACAAAAGTTTATTTCATAAATTGATCGCTACTGATAATTTAATGGTAGTAAAAAAAAATTATTTTTACTAATAATTTAATAAATTACTATTTTAATAATGAATTAAAAAATTAATTTTTTTAACTGATACTTTTCAGAGAAAAAAAGAGGTCAGCAAAAGTAAATATGATAAATGGACTAAATTTTTGTAGTTGTTGTATTGCAATACATATTTATAAAAACACACAATATGTTGATCAACTTTATTTCAGAACACTTCTGAACAGAAGTAATAAAGGTTTATTTCATATATAATATGATAGTTGAATTATCATATTTGTCGGTATATAACATGCTCCCTTCTATGATGGGCACCCCAAGTATTGAAAGAAAAATTTCCGGAACAAACTCAAGTTTAAAGAGAAATATAATCCATTTAAAAACGTCAGTCTGTAATTAAGGCCATTTGGGAATTTTTCAACGCTGTGCATGAAAACATACCTGTAAGATCACCAAAGCTTTATGGGTTTTTCCTGTCAAGGGAGGTCCTTTCTGTCTCATTCATAGGTCGCATCATTATCACTTGAAAGCGGAGCATTCTAGGATCTTGGAAGGGAAAACTTGAATGCAGGCAGCTATGAAAATAACGGTACATTTCGGCCTGCCTTTGTTGTACAAGATGCAGCCTAATTATAAGGTCTTTTTTGATAACAAAAATGTGTGTCTTATACACCAGCTTATATGGTAGATAATTGCCATCTGTTCAAAGATTTAGTAACAATCACTAGATATGGGTTTTTCTTACAGTAATATTTGTATGCAAATAAAGTATAGGGCATATAGGACTAGACCTATATTTTATAGACCAATCGGCACAAGATGGGTGATGTGGTCATCATTACGCCGGCCGTCTTTACTTCCCGGGACTGCACCCCATACCCACTCAAGGCTGGGTCGACCTGGGGGCCAAGGTCATTTTTAATATAAAAGTCTGGCTCCGCTAGGGAGCGAACCCACGACCTTCCAATCCGTGGCAAGCATCTAGCTGCTCCACCACAGCGACTCCAATTTGTATGCAAGTAAATTGTTAATATATTATGAAAGACACATACAGTTGAAGTTTAGGCACAACAATAGGCATAGACAGAAAGGTTCTGTAATATCTAACATAAATGGGTGCTCAAAGCTGGTCTAGAATGCAAATGACTAGATTGATAAAAACCTAAACATATGGAAACAGAAAAGGGCTGAACTGTGGTAAAACTACAAGTGCAATGAATAAATCAGCAGATACTGAAAGTAGAGAAGGTCCATTTTACAAGAACACAATCACAAGTGATGGAATAGATGTTGCGACTGAAAAGCCTTCATCAGCAGGGGGAAAAAATGCATAAATGCAGCTACGTTCGTTTTTTCAGTCCTAGAATATCGCAGCTGATGCCCAAATGAGACAGTAGTTATTGCTAACAAAATTAAGGGTATACTACATCCACAGGAGCTAAATACACCACCCTTGTAGGAGTCTTGTGTGTTGTTGGGTGTTTTGCTATGCTTTGTCTAAACATAAAATGTACAAGCATAAAAATATTTTAGACCTCTGCATAGGTGTAAATACACATGGTACATTATTTTGTACTGAAAGAGTTAAATAATGTAACAGAAATTTCTCGGAACAAAAAATCCTCACACCTGAGAATGAGGACATGAGGTCACACATGTCCTGCCAAGAGAGAATCTTGTTCTTATTGTAAGTGTTTACTGGCTGTAAACTCCAGTTTTACTTCAACTTATGCAATCTGGCATTGTTCCCAGACTTGTGCTTTGCCTGCACATCCATTTTACAGATCTAGTTCATTTGATACAGAAGAAGACGTTTTTCTGGTTGCAGACAGCATAAACACAGAAACTTTAATTATATCTTTCTGCAGTGAGGGAAAGATGGATGGAAAGGTACCAACAACAGCAACTAACAATCAGTTAACTGGTATATACACCAATGCTTATGTACAAAGTTAGTGCGCATTTGAACAGTTTGTTAGTTTTCTTCGTACGTCTGAGGATATGTTGTCAGAAATATGTCAGCCTAATAATCTGGTAAAAATATGAGAACAGTCTGAAGGTCACGAGCTGAGCCTTCACCTGAGGCAAAGTTTTTGGTATCTTCAAGATGAAATAGTTAAGCAGTTCACCTCACAGTCTGAAGGTTGTGGGTTCATATTCAGACTCTGATTTGCTTCGCGAATATGGGTGTTCTGCAAATCCCTGGTGGTTATTGCTGGGAATATGGAATTGTATTATTTGTGATGCTCCCACTGGGTGACCAGCTACTCTGCAGCGAGAGACCAAACCATTTCGGATACAACTTTTTCACAGATGCTCCCATTGGATTAACAGCTTCTCTGCAGTGAGAGACCAAACCATTTGGGATAAAACTAGCTCACAGATGCTCCCACTGGGTGACCAGCTACTCTGCAGAGAGAGACCAAACTATTTGGGATACAACTTTTGCACAGATGCTCCCATTGGATTAACAGACACACTGCAAAGAGAGATCAAACAATTGTACAGTTAGATAGTAATTTCTTTCAGTATGCATGTTCTTGCTCACAGTAAACCAACAGGAAACATGATTTTTGTGACTTTCTAAACATTTATTCCCAACAAATAAAAGACCCTTCCAGTTACTTTGTTATCTTCTGCTTAGGTGCTGGGGCCATTGAGATGTAAGCTCTTACACTGCTAAAATATATTAATGAAAATGGAGCTGTTGGTGTGTTGTAATACATTTTCTTGCTGTTACATTACAGAATAATTCTGAAGCCATGGCCACAAATGGTGCTGTTGAGTTTCTGCTTGGTGGCCTGGCTACCTGTGGGGCAAGTTTCTTCACTAATCCTCTGGAAGTTGTGAAAACTCGAATGCAGCTGCAAGGTGAACTAAGAGCTCATGGAGAGTATGCGGTATGTTTTGTTGTTCCATCTTTGGGTTCCAGCAAGACTGCCTTTGCTGCCTGTATTTATGACTTTTGCAGTGTAGGCGAGTTTGGGGGTGGTTGGAAAGGGGGGGGGGGGGGTGTTTGTGGGCCTGAAGATTTAGGTGTACATTGCTAGTGCTATTGCCATGGACTGTACAGGCTAGGATTTTATTTTTGCCACTGACAGAAAAAAATACACAACCTGGGATTCAAACTTGGGCATCCCGTATGAGAGTCCAGCATTCCTAATGTTGGGCCAACTGCTTCACTTCACCTTCACCGGCTGAAGTCTGATGTATCGGCTGAAAGGTGCTAATATTGCAGCCATGCTGTGAACAGGCACAACACAATTAATCCTCGGAAAAACACAGAAGAAAAAGAAGACAGTCACTGGCTGTAACCTCTAGCAGAAATTCCTGGCTGTTCCTCTACTTCTGGGCTTTAGTTTTGTTCTGGAACTTGAGTTTTGCATGCACATCCATTTTACAGATCTGGCTTATTTGTATGCAGATTGTTGGTTTCTGTGGCAGATGTACTTCGACTTCAAAGGAAAAGACCGCTAATTAGTCGACCTTTACGACATACTTGTTAGGTTGCTGTGGGTCTGTTCTTTTTCTCCCCACAGTGGGGTCCCAGAACCCCTTCTGGGACCTTCTGTAGTTTGGTTGTTTCTTCTTCTTCATTGTTTGGAAGCATCCGTGGTGTGGCAGCTAAGTGCTCGCCTGAATGCTTGAAAAAGAGTCTTTTACTTCCTTTCCTTGTTCAGCCTTAAAAGGCTAGTTGACACATTGTATTGTGGTTTACATATGGGCAGTATTATATCCTTGGCACTGCGCCAGTCTCTTAAGTGCAATTTTTGGCAATTTTCATTTGAGTGAATTCTCAGCACTGTTGTTTGTCACTTTAAAATATGCCAGTGTCACACTTGTGAACTCCTGCTCCATGTAGGTGAAAATGAAATATTTTTTTTGACACAGCTATGCAGTTTTTCATTTGCTACTTCAAAGAGAATACAATTTTATTCAAACTATGGTTTAGCACTTAGTTGTTGGCATCATGTCAACAAATAGGCCTTTTAGGCCAACATGTCTGATTCAATCAAACCCCTCCTTCGTCAGCTTTCATTTTGTTCCATATTAAGGGATGACTGGCTGCCTAAAAATCCCAGTACTTTAGAACTGAATTTAAGTTGTCTTTGTTGTTACTAATGCATTCTGATATTATTATTCTTCCGCATTCCGAGCCCCTGACCTGGATATCACCCGCCTCCATTCATCTCTCTTATTGGGTATCTCTACCCGTTTTATGACTTCAAGTGTTAGTTGGTCCATCTGTGTACTATCTCTCCACTGTCATCATAGTCTGCAATTCAGCCTGCTCTTATTCGGATTTTTGTTTAGTTTTGCCCTCTCTGTTATCTGCCATCCACTTCTGCCATTGCAGTTGTTAGTCCTCATATATTAAAATCCATTCAGTTTCAAAGCTACTCCAAAACACTGTAGGAACCCTCACTGAAAAAATCACGACTAGAATGATGATCCAGAAATTGGAGTCAGGTGGTATGTTTCCTATTACACTAGGTAGTTACCGACCTGCAAGAAATACCTGGTGCAGTATTTCCATAGGACATGTGACATGCTCATCGGATTGCTATTGGCCATGCACTTTGAGGCAAAATGGGTCAGCTGGATCGCAGCAGCACTATTTTAAAGAAACAGTATTGTTGTGATGTTGTGCATGGATATGAAACCTCAGCATATCCAAATAGGCCTGCCTCAGAGATCACCATTGTTACTAGTGCACAGAGCTCAAGCCTGGACAGAACCATGTCATATTCAGACTCTATCCTTGTGTACCATTAAGGAGGAAACGCATGAAATAACAACAGCACTACATCATGAACTAGACAGATTGAGTGAGTGGTGCCAGGAACTTAGAGCACAAGTGAAACTGTCAGAGGCCGCCTTGACATTGTTCTGTTTGAATACCCACATTGTCAGTTCACCTATGCCAGTCATAAGCATGTGTGGTATAGCAATCAAGAGAACGAACACAGTGAAATAGCTTGGCATGACCTTTGACAAATGCTTCTCATACAAGTATCACATAGACAGTGTCATACTTAGAGCCAAAAAAGATCTGACAGCACTCAAGGTGTTGACAGCAACTGATATTGAACAATGCCTACCTTTTCTTTTCTATCAGGGGCTCGTGTTGAATGTCATAGACTGTGGTCTAGGCCTCCTTGCTGTCAGTAGACATGCATGACCTTTCTAATGTGGTAATCACACTGGGGAGATGCTGCAAGAATAAGATTCCAGCAGCTGTAGACACAGAGACAAGAGCACTTATAGATCAGCATTCACACCCATTCTACACTGATGGGTCCCTGAAGCGCGGGTCAAGATCAGCATGAATATACACAGCACAGAGGATGAGGAAAACAGAAAAAAAAAGATAGTGGTGCTTTCCAGGCAGCTACGTCAGGCATGACAATGGAGATAACTGCTGCCCCCAAAGCACAAGCACGGGAAGCAGAACAAGCAGCCACACATGCAGTAGTTGTATTAGACTCTATGAAAATGCTTTAGAAAATTACAGCAGGTGGTATACGCTCTGAATGGATAGAAAGCATTTGAAAATCACACTTAACCTCCCTCACCTGGATCTACGCACCTGGTCATGTCGGCATAAAAGGCAATGAGCAAGTGGACCAGTCAGCAAGCATGCACCAATGCATACGGGAAGAAGCATGGACAGAGCATATATCATCAACACTGTATAGATTGGGCTAGTGGCTAATGATGATCTCAGGACAATCACACAATCGTGTGACTGGGACATAAAGCATGGTGAAGTTCGTCTATGCCACCTTCGAGGCTAAGATAGGAGACGTCATAACCAACTCATCATGGGAACAATTAGCAGAGGTTTTTTGGCGTGGCTGCTGCATCAGAGGCCTAAGCATGTAAGGAAATGCCCAATGTACAGTGATGTTGATTGTGATGACATAACATCTGCTTCGTGATGAAGTCAGCTTTTACAGTGGGATACTATTTATCCCTATGCTTCAGACCAGACCTGGAGGACCAGGATGTCTCTCTTTGTCTGTTCTTTACCCTGTGACTTGACTAGCTTGAGAGGCCCTGCTTGTAGCTATGCTTCTAGCAGCATGGGTCAGACCGATCTGCTTGGATTTCAGAAAGAATAAGAAGTAACAAGCATAGCTTTCAGGGTCACTTGGAAACACAACATTCCCTACCACATCAAGGTGGAGGCACTTCTAGGGAGGCTGATATTTTATTGTTTACCAACATAAAACTCAATCTACATTTAAAAAATATGTAGCGTTGAGAACGACGTTCTGCAAAGGACCTGCTACAAGATGATGATGATGGTGGCACAGCAGCTATCATCCTTACCGACTGGCAAACTGGCCGTAAATTGGAGAATTTTCAAAGTTTGTCTTAATTTTCAAGTTGCCCAGCCTAAAATTGAGTACAGTTATAATTTCCAGGATTGAAAGGCATGCAGCCATTTTTAGGCTGGGTTGATGTTGAAAACCCGAGCTCAGTTTTAAAATCAAGAAATAAAATTGATAAAATGAATGGTGAATGTACATTTTTGGAAAGAAAAATAAATAGTGTATGTTTTTTTTTTCAAACTGCACTTTTTAATTATTTTGATGTTTATACCATGCTAATTTCCCTTAGGTTCATTATCGAAATGCATTTCACGCATTTGTAACCATTGCCCGAAATGATGGAATCCTGGCCTTGCAAAGTGGCCTAGTACCTGCATTCTGGTATCAGTTCTTTATGAATGGAACAAGGTTGGGCACATTTCAGGTATCTATTTTTGCTTATTAGAAAAATGTTCATTTTCCCTAGTATTTTCTAATGCATTATATTGAACTTTCTGTCATTTTCGTTTCATAGTTAACATGTTTTTGATAAATGTGCGAGAGGGGAGGTGTTTTTATTTGCCTGTGTGGAAAGAAAAGGAGGGAGAGAAGGAAAGGAAATAATCACTGTCAAAAGTCTACTGTCCTATGTGTGAATCCCCTTTAACGTTTTAAACCTCTTCTTCTTTTTCTTAAGGTTCATGCCGTGTGGCATTGGTAGTCATGTCTACCCACAACCTTCTGTCTCATGTACTTTCAATCAGTCCTGACACCGATGATCCTCCACGCCATAATCTCCTACTGTCATGATGTACTCCAGTTTTCTCCTTCTCATCACATGACTAAAGAATGTAGAATGCCTCTTTCTGATGTGGACAATCAGTTCTCTTTGTGAGTCAGTTTCTTTCAAGACGTTTTCGTTACTATTTTTATTTGAACAGGGTATTCTCATCATTCGTCAGTAATTCTAAGTAGTTTCAATTCAACAAAGCTTGTGTTAGTGTATTTCTATCATAGAGCAATAATTGTTAAGTCTCACAAAGCTTTGGGACAGCATGCATTATAGTAACAGTTTAAATATAAGTGTGTTGACATAACCAAAAAAAATGGTACAGGAAAAGTAATGTATGGCCATATAAGCAGTAACCAGTGTACACATAGTGAGTTCTCTGGTATTGAAAAAAGTTAAGACATGGATTTTGAAATAATTTTTTTTATTGCCTTGGTTTCCTAGTTTTGCATTGTTTAAATTGCGCAACAGGAAATTCAACAGAATACTTAAACCATTTTTGGCTTAGCTCTGTGTAACCAAGACGCCTTTGGCATAAAAAGTTTTTTTTTACTCTCTAAAAGAGCATTATGATGTCGTGTTTTACCTGTTAACTCTTTTGACCCATAAATGCTTACATTTACCACACCACATATAAAAAAGTGGGGGGGGGGGGAGAAAACCAACTTACACAGCAAAAAAACTGGTTTTAAAATTGCATATATCTACATTCCTAAAATTCTTGTTTGGTAATATTTAAAGAGTCATCAATAAACAAAAACAGAAATGAATTATAATAAGTTCCCCGGACACTTAAACAAATATATATCGGTGACCCTGTGACCTCTGTCACTGAGTCTTACAGGAAACTTTCAAGTCAACCTGGCTTTAAAAGAGCTGTTTGATTTACAAGGGAACTCTTTTGAATGCAATATTTAGCTATATTCGCATTGCGGAATCCTAAATAGGTTGTATGTGCAGGCACACATAGAACCATTGACATTTAACTATGCTTTTTGGGAACAGATCACTATAGAAATAAAGGTAAATCAGCATTTTTGGAGCCTTATCACAGCCGGAGTGACCAGATTTAGTCTTCTCAGTGGATTAGGTTGCTGCTTGTATATTTCTTTGTGTACAGTTGAATTATAATTGGGATGCAAATGTGTGAACTATTTGTGGTAGTGCACTGGGAGCAGGCTGGCAAGACCTATCTACACTTTTCTATGGTCATCAAAGAAACAGGTTCACAACCGTGGGCCTGACCATCCTAGATACGATAGACAGTTCCTAGGAAGTCAGCTTGCATCTGCCTAAGAGGCGAGGAACAAAGATGCACATAAATAAGCCAGATCTGACACTTCAGATCAAATTTATATTGTTCTTTCCTGTAATACTTTTGGTCAAGCCATTCATTTAATCTCTAGCTTATCCAGGTATCACTGTTTCAGAATGAAAATTCGAAACAAAACTTGTATAGGTTTCGTATATATATAAATTAAAATATGTAATAAATGTTCATAAATAGTTGTGTAAATTTATGACTTTATGACTCACTTATCTGGCTTCTTGCAGTTAGTTGAAATCATATGTTTACTTTTAACTGAATTTCAAAAACAAAGGTTCAAGTAAACCTTGGCTTGACAAAAGATAGCAGTGGAAATCACAGCTTTGTACGTAGTGTAGCCGCAGGAGCTTTTTCTGGATGTATGGGTGCTGTTGTTGGAAGTCCTTTCTATATGGTAAGTCAAAAATAAAAACATTAAAATTTTTATATAAAGAACTCTTTTTATGTCAGTTCCACTTCAGGCATATTATGTTAGACTCATATATTTATAGCTCAATCAGCATGCAGTGGCTGATGTCTTCTTCTTTCGTTCACCTGAAATAAGTTGTCTATATCAGCAGTTTTGTCTCTCATATAAATTTCATTGTCGTTGTTAGTTCATTCAGTGGTCCATAGAGTTTATGTTCCACTGTTGTTCTTTCTGGCCAAAAGGTTTGCCTTATTGTGTCAAATTCGGTGCAGTCCTGGAGTACATGCTCTGCTGTCTTGTGCACTTTTCCACAGGTGCACATGGCTGATACATGGCCTGTCTTGAATTTTGTGTACATGTGATTACGTAATCAGTTGTGTACTGTTCTGAGGCGAAGGATAATGACTTGTTCTGGTTTGTCCATAATAAAATAAGTGGCTGATATGATCAACAACACACTGGCCAGCTTTGCTTCCCTGGATATTACCTGGTATCCATTTTAGGCTGGGTTGACTTGTGAGCCCTGCTCAGTTTAGAGAAAAACAATCTGCCTTGGTTAGGATTCGAACCCAAGATCTTCAGATGGTATGTGATAATCTAGCCACTTTGCTGCTGTGTGTCCACTGACTGTATGGTGAACAGTTTACATTTTGCTGTACTTGGTGTCTGGGGCTTAGGGGGTTATCTTCTTCTTCTTGTTTTTCACAATCACCATCGATGAACTTTGCCAGGAAGTTCTGGTTGTTTTTTTTTCAGCTCTGGACTTGAGTTTTGTTCCAGAACCTAATTGTTACGTGCACATTCATTTTACAGATCTGACTTATGTGTCTGCAAACTGTTGGTTCTTTGCTTCTCAGGCAGATGTGCCCCAACTTCGAAGGAGGACCCCAGTTAGTCGACTCTCACAACATGCTTGTTGGGGAGGCAGTGGGTCTATACTTGTTTCCCCCACAATGGTGCCCCAGAACCAACATAGGGAGCTTAGAGATTATGAATACAGATTTGTAATTCTGACATACCAAGTTTGATTTGGCTTGAGGTGATTTGACAACAGGTTTTGCATAGATTTTGATAACAGGTACTGTATCAGTATTCACCATTACAACAGATATAGAGTGAGGGGAAGACCTCGGAAAATATTGAGTGATGGCATAAAGAACAGCTTTACAGAACAGCTTGACAAAGCTCATCAATGAGCGTTACATCTCCCCCCGACACTTCACTAAGATACAAGGTGGAAGAGAGGAAAAAAGAAGAAGAAGAATTAGGCAGCAGCAAGCTTCTTCTTCCTCTTCTTTTTCTTCTTCTTTTTCTTCTTCTTCTTCTTCTTTTCAAAGTCCCTGTTGTGTGGCGTTGGTCGTCAACTCCATCCATAACCTTCTGTCTCGTGTACTTCCAGTCAGCTCTGACACAGATGATCCTCCATACCCTGATGTCAAACTGTCCAGCATCTTTTCTCTGTCTCTCTCTGCCTCTATTCCTATCCAGGTCTCCTACTGTCACAATGTACTGCAGTTTTCTCTTTATCATCACATGACCAAAAAGTGTAGATTGTCTCTTTCTGATATGGGCAATCAGATGCGGCACTTGGAGATGGTATACATGTGACTATTCCACATATGATACCGGCTGTATTAATGACATAAGACTCAAAATTAGAAGTTATTTTTTTCTCTCCTAATCATTTTTATGGAGAACAGCGTATGTTCTTTCTTGCACTGATGCAAAAAAAAGAAATAATGAAAAGGAATTTATGCATGCGGGGCAGTTTACGCCGTCCTGTAACAGCTTGTAATTAGATATATTGAGAATAAAATTAATCATTTGAATACATTGATGATGCATATTATTTTTATTCTACCTGTATGCTGCTTAATAGTTTTGTGTTTGATACTTGATGTTGGATGGTTGACTTCCCCTTGCTTATAACTTTCTCTTAAATGTTAGCTTAACCAAGTAACTTAACATCTTGGTTCATTCGTTCGTTCGTCCATCAAAAGTGATGAGGACCACTCTTTCTTGCATCCATCATGAAACTGCAGTTGAATCTTTGTGATTCCAAAAGTGACCTATAAGTCCAGTACAGGCTTGGAGGAGTCTAGGACAATGATTGCAGGGCATAATGACTGTAGATAAAGGGCCTGTTTGGTGGTTCTTTCTGGCCTGTCTTTGTTGTTCAGCTGCCTTTGTTCTGGATGCCTACCAGATCATTGCACCTCTTCCTAGTGCCCCATAAGCCCGGTTATGTGCTGCAGCCTTGCAGGTGTCAGGGTTTATACTGGCTTTCAATGATGCCTTTAGTGTGTCCTTGAAGCGTTTTTTCTGGCCACTATGAGAATGTTGACCTTTATGTGTCTCACCATAGAAGATTATTTTTGGAAGCTGATGGTCAGGCATTCGAACAATATGGCCAGCCCATCGAATCTGTGACTGCATCAGGATGGTATTGATGCCCTGTCCATTACGACAGTGTCCTGGACCATGTCTTGCCACCTTATGTTCAAACTGTCAGCTATTCAGTATCTTTCTCTGAGTTTAGTTTTTTTGCTTCACGTCGTATACAGTCAAAATTTCACAGGCATAAAGTAGCACTGGAAGCACTGCAGCTCTGTTTACCTTCAGTCTGGTTTGCAGACTGATGCCACTATGATGCCAGACATTCGTGTATAACCTGCCAAATATGCAGCTAGCTTTAGAGATCCTGGTGCTGACCTCATCATCGACGGTGACATTCTAAGTCAATGTACTGCCAGGGTATCTGAAACAATCCACAACCTTTAATTTCTTGCTATTTACCAGAATGAGTGGTTCATCATACTCTTTGCCTGGTGCTGGTTGGTACAAAACATCTTGGTTATGTTTTACATGAATCCTACCTTTTTTAAACCCTTCCATTTCAGAGAGTTATTACATTTACCCACCTGATCGTAATTATTAAGTCAACTCTTCCTATGTCACTGCTGCCTTCTGCTGGCTGGAAAATCAGCTGTACACACATGCCGTGATCGTCACTGACTCACAGAGCATGCTAAGGTGGAGACAGGCACGCTTCATGCAGAGCGGCAAGCATCACTTAAGAGGTCCCGGGTAGTTAGTATTCTTTGGATATTCTCTACAGGTCATGCCAGTGTGTTGGGAAATAAGCAGGCAGATAGACTGGTCAGTTCTGCACCACTTGGGGATGAACTTATGCATTACAGGCTAGACATTGTGAGGGCCCTCTGGAAACGGGTGAACAGTGCAGAAGCGCAAAAGAATCATTTCAGACTGAGGAGAATGGCATGGCGAGGAGTTACCAGGGAATCTGGCTGACGCTCAGTACTCAAGGGAAAGGTGAGACGGAAATACAATCAGACAGTTACTGGCACCATCGGAATTGGAACTCTTCGTTTGCTGCTGAAGATGGGGACGGAGCGCTTATGGGGGTGTCCCAGGTGTTGTGATGTCGATTTTTAATTCAACATTTAACAACATTCCTATGCCAGAATATTAATGTTGAACATCTTCAGACTCAAACATGTATTACTTTTTGTGTAACTGCTTTGAGTAGAAAGGATTAAACTAAGAGAGAAACAAAAGAAGACCAAATAACACATTTCCCAGTGAGGGCCTGGCCCTATCTTAGGAGGGAGAGAATAGAATGACTGCCCCCAACAAGCCTGTTGTGAGAGGTGATTTATTAGGGGTGTTTCCTTCGAAGTCAGAGTACATCTGCTTGAGAGGTGAGCACTCAACAGTCTGCACATTAATACGCCACATCTGTAATACAGATGTGCATGCAAAACTCAAGTACTGGAACAAGGTCAAAGTCCAGAAGTGGATAAGCAGTGAGAACTTTCCTCCAGAGTTTGCAGCACTAGAACGCTAAGAAGAACCTGCAGCACTAGAACGCTAAGAAGAACCTGCAGCCCTAGAACGCTAAGAAGAACCTGCAGCCCTAGAACGCTAAGAAGAACCTGCAGCACTAGAATGCTAAGAAGAACCTGCAGCCCTAGAACACCAAGAAGAACCTGCAGCCCTAGAACACCAAGAAGAACCTGCAGCCCTAGAACGCTAAGAAGAACCTGCAGCCCTAGAACGCTAAGAAGAACCTGCAGCCCTAGAACGCTAAGAAAAACCTGCAGCCCTAGAATGCTAAGAAGAACCTGCAGCCCTAGAGCGCCAAGAAGAACCTGCAGCCCTAGAACGCTAAGAAGAACCTGCAGTCCTAGAACGCTAAGAAGAACCTGCAGCCCTAGAACGCTAAGAAGAACCTGCAGCCCTAGAATGCTAAGAAGAACCTGCAGCCCTAGAACGCCAAGAAGAACCTGCAGCCCTAGAACGCTAAGAAGAACCTTCAGCCCTAGAACGCTAAGAAGAACCTGCAGCCCTAGAACGCTAAGAAGAACCTGCAGCCCTAGAATGCTAAGAAGAACCTGCAGCCCTAGAACTCCAAGAAGAACCTGCAGCCCTAGAACTCCAAGAAGAACCTGCAGCCCTAGAACCCCAAGAAGAACCTGCAGCCCTAGAACGCTAAGAAGAACCTGCAGCCCTAGAACCCCAAGAAGAACCTGCAGCCCTAGAACCCCAAGAAGAACCTGCAGCCCTAGAACCCCAAGAAGAACCTGCAGCCCTAGAACCCCAAGAAGAACCTGCAGCCCTAGAACCCCAAGAAGAACCTGCAGCCCTAGAACCCCAAGAAGAACCTGCAGCCCTAGAACACCAAGAAGAACCTGCAGCCCTAGAACTCCAAGAAGAACCTGCAGCACTAGAACTCCAAGAAGAACCTGCAGCCCTAGAACACCAAGAAGAACCTGCAGCCCTAGAACGCTAAGAAGAACCTGCAGCCCTAGAACGCTAAGAAGAACCTGCAGCCCTAGAACGCTAAGAAAAACCTGCAGCCCTAGAATGCTAAGAAGAACCTGCAGCCCTAGAGCGCCAAGAAGAACCTGCAGCCCTAGAACGCTAAGAAGAACCTGCAGCCCTAGAACGCTAAGAAGAACCTGCAGCCCTAGAACGCTAAGAAGAACCTGCAGCCCTAGAATGCTAAGAAGAACCTGCAGCCCTAGAACGCCAAGAAGAACCTGCAGCCCTAGAACGCTAAGAAGAACCTGCAGCCCTAGAACGCTAAGAAGAACCTGCAGCCCTAGAATGCTAAGAAGAACCTGCAGCCCTAGAATGCTAAGAAGAACCTGCAGCCCTAGAACCCCAAGAAGAACCTGCAGCCCTAGAACGCTAAGAAGAACCTGCAGCCCTAGAACCCCAAGAAGAACCTGCAGCCCTAGAATGCTAAGAAGAACCTGCAGCCCTAGAACGCCAAGAAGAACCTGCAGCCCTAGAATGCTAAGAAGAACCTGCAGCCCTAGAATGCTAAGAAGAACCTGCAGCCCTAGAATGCTAAGAAGAACCTGCAGCCCTAGAGCGCCAAGAAGAACCTGCAGCCCTAGAACGCTAAGAAGAACCTGCAGCCCTAGAGCGCCAAGAAGAACCTGCAGCCCTAGAACGCTAAGAAGAACCTGCAGCCCTAGAGCGCCAAGAAGAACCTGCAGCCCTAGAACGCTAAGAAGAACCTGCAGCCCTAGAACTCCAAGAAGAACCTGCAGCCCTAGAACTCCAAGAAGAACCTGCAGCCCTAGAACTCCAAGAAGAACCTGCAGCCCTAGAACTCCAAGAAGAACCTGCAGCCCTAGAACTCCAAGAAGAACCTGCAGCCCTAGAACTCCAAGAAGAACCTGCAGCCCAAGAACACTAAGAAGAACCTGCAGCCCTAGAACGCTAAGAAGAACCTGCAGCCCTAGAACTCCAAGAAGAACCACTCTACTATTTGAAACCTAATTTTGAAACAAATAATGTTGTTGAATGTTTTGTTATGCTAGGTGAAAACGCAACTTCAGTCCAAAGCAAATACAGAAATTGCTGTTGGACATCAGCATCCTCATGAATCCATGTCACATGCACTTAGGGTAAGTAAACATTTACCATTGTTGACAACAGCTTGTCCCTCATCTTTTTATTTCTCTTGTAAGGGTCAAATTAAAATATTCAGTGAAGATTATAATTATTGAGTGTCTAGACAATATTAAATTAGAAACATGTAGGACAAGAGCACTGATCTGATCTATGATTCTGGTGATGTAGGATGGTATACCATGATCGCCTGCTCTAATGAATATGGCACGTCATGATAATAGGAGCTCATATCCATGACCATCCTGAAGATTCTAGCCAAACTGTTATTTTGTTACATTAAGAGTTGTTATTCTTTCAGCAGATCATGTATTTACTGGTATTTGTGGGGTGTTTTAATTTCTTCTTTCTATCCCTTTGTGGGTGGGTTCCGGAGCCCCATTTGAAGTTGTGGGGGATGGGTGGTGAAGAATACACCCACTGTTCATGAAAAGCATTTTGTTAAGCAACTAATTATGGGTTTCTTTTTCTTTTTCTACTGCCTTCTAACCCCCCAATGGAGCATAGGCCCTCAACCAACTCACGCCAAGTTGTTCTGTCCTTCGCTATCATATGCAGCTCTCTCTATGACCTACTCATCTTTTAACTTCACTGTCTAGCTCTCTTATTCTTGTGTTTTTGGTCTTCTTTTATTTCAATGTCCCTGTGGATTCTAGTGCAAAGACATTCTAGTTATCTTGTTTCTTAGGTTTTCTTAACATGTGTCCTATCCAACACCAGTATCTTTTCTTCACCTCTTGGTCCACTGGAACTTTTGTTCTCTCCCTGAGCTCTATATTAGTGACTTTGTCATACCATTAAATTCCCTCTATTCGGCGCAGGCACCAGTTTATGAATGTTTGTAGTTTATTAGTAGTTGCCTTAGTTTTCTATGTTTCCGTTCCATACAACAGTACTGATTTGACATTCAAATTAAAAATTTTAAGTTTAGTGTAAGTTTTAATTTTTTTGACCTCCACAAATTTCCTGGTGCTGTAAAAGCTGCTGTTACCATTTGTATTCATATTTTAATATCTTTATCAGTTCTCCCATCTTTATATACATTACTGTTCAAATAGGTGTATGACTGTCTTGGAGTGGGATACCATTAAGAAAAATCACATTACTATTTGCCTGGTTAATTCTCTTTATCTTTGCCTTTTCCTTATGGATTTTCAGACCTAGCTATTGTGATCTCACATCAAGTATATTTAATTTGTCTTGCATCTGATTCCATGAATGGACAGAAGAGAAATATTATCAGCGAAGTCCCGATCTTCAAACTGTTATGCAGGATCCACTGAATTCCATTCCTGGTGTTAGCAGTTGTTGTCTTCTAATCTCTATTGCCAGTAAAAATAGCATCTTTAAGTCTTTCCAAAATCATTCTACTTAATATTTTTCCAGGAACTGACAGCAACATAATTCCTCTTTAGTTCTCACACTCCTGTAGATCACCCTTTTTTTTTTTGTTGGCAGTTTCACAAGATATCCTTTTCTTCTGTCTGGTATTTCTTTGGCTTCCCAGACTTTACTAAATAATCTGTGTAACAGTTTTGTTGATGTGTTTATGTTGACTTGAATACCTTCTTCTGGGATACCATCTATACCTGCCGCCTTTCCTTGCTTCAGAAGATTAAGAGCTTTCCTAATTTCCTCTTTAATTAAAGGTTTGCTGAAATCGGACGTGTTGAGCCGAAAGGCACCAATAGTGCAGCCTATCTGTAAACCACAGAACAACCACCTTTTAAGGGTAAACAAGGAGTATTGCCAGGGAAAATACAGTGACACAGATGAACCCTATTAAATGTAAAGGCTCATATATGGGGGGGGGGGGGGGGGGGGGTGGGTTCAAGTGAAAACCTGAAAATTGTGATAGAAATTACAATAACCATGTCATTGTCTGTACCTGTTAGTACTTTTTTACGAATGTTAAGCAGTGCAGATGAACAAGGTTATGTCATAAGGACCATTTAAAAGACTGCCACCCCACTTTTTGACACACACCAAAGAGAAGCAGCATTCTATTATGCGGTTTTTTTTTTAAAACATCAGTGAAGAGTTAAAACCTACAGAAATCCATCGGCGAATGAAGGTCCTGTATGGTGATGCATGTCCATCAGGCTAGCAAGCGTGTTAGAGAAGTAGAAAGTTTTCAAAACGGCATGACTTCTTTGAGAGTCTGTTCTTCAGATGGGTCAGACACACCAAGTAGTGACCTTAGAGTCAGTTGAAACTCCAGGCAAAATCCTGGGAAGTAAAGGCACATGGTATGATGTTGACCATATCATCCCCGAGTGCCGATTGGTCTAGCACTGTGCACCAAGTACACAAAAAGAGGCTAGAAAAAAATTCCTTTACTTTTTTTTGTTTTGCTTTTACACTGTACCCTTATGACACAAGACTGAGTTGTCTTCTTCTTTGGGTTCACCAGCTGTATGCTGATCTATAAGTTCTGGTTGTTTGTCCACAGATTTAGCTTGCACATTCGTTTCACACGTCTAGCTTATTTGACTTTGAAGGAAAAACCCCAGATTAGCTGAGTTTTACGACATGCTTGTTGGGGGTGGGGGGAGTGTCCCCCCCCCCCTCCCCTCCCCCCAACCACCAAATGTGGCCCTGGAACCCCATGGGGAGACTGAGTTATCAGTTAATTTGATTTGGTTCCAAATGTTTCAGACAATATTCAAAGATCATGGTGTGCTGGGGTTGTGGCGAGGTGTTAGTGGAGCTGTTGCTCGGGTCACAGTGGGATCTGCTTCACAGTTGTCTACATTTTCTACATCAAAACACTTTATAGAAAGTACTAAGGTATGTAAACTGAGTGTTTAATTGACTTATGTATCATTATTACTTTCCTATTCAATACATGTTTATTCTACTTCTTGTTCTAGTTTTTCTTCTTCTGTATTGACACTTAGAAATGTAGTTGGCATGTTTTGTTGTGGTTTACTATAAGACAGTCTGTGGCAGTTTCCTTTCCTTTCACCCCGTTGTGTACAGCCAGGATAGTTTCTTGAGGCTTGACTTCAGGATGCTGTCATCCCATTCTAGCTGGAGTTTGCCAGTCTGGGTTTTCTTAAACATCAAGGGAAACCCTAAAATAAATATTGGTTGGGGAGACTAGTGGGGCGGTGTAGGAAAATGTTGAAGGCCACAACCACAGTGTAGGAAAGTTAAAGGCCAAAAAACGTAGTTGACAATTATACCTGACACTAAAGGATTTGTGCAGTTAGGAGAGAAGATACAGGTTAATACTCCAATTCTTAGAACTAGAATTCTCCTTGCGAATAATTATAGCAACAGATTGCTCGGAGGTGAGCAATTAATACTCAAAAATTCTGCCAACTGCAACACCAGAGTTGCTAATGCATAGAGGAGTGTATTCTTAAGTGGCATGACAGCTGAAGTAAGTAAAGATCCCTTTTCACACCTTTCGGCGCATCGGGCATATGGGCAGAGGATCCCATATTTTTACAGACCATCAGCACTCTGTGGGTAATGTGGTCAGCATTACGCCGGCTGTCTTTACTTTCCCAGGACAGCCCATCCTGGTACCCATTTTAGGCTGGGTCGACCTGCGACGTCCCATACCACGATAAAAATCCACGCAGCTTGCAGTGGGTTTCGTTCGCGGTATGCTGGCTTACGAGTCGGACTCGCAACGCCTTAGCCACGGACGCCACGACAGCTGAAGTGCAGGAACAAATTAGAACAGGAGGTACATTAGTTTTTCCGTTAAATAAAGTGAGGCGAACTGATGTTACGAAGATAACGAACAGGTTCATGGGTGGCTGCGATGTTACAAATCACCCACGCTTCCCGGCAAAATTATATAACAAGGAACAGAAGGGGTGAAAACGGGGGGGGGGGGGGGGGGGGGGGGTTGCAGTGCATGGGCGAGAGAGACCAGTCAGATGGGCGTTTAGCGGACAAGTCTAGGTTAAGAATTGTAGCTTGTGAATATAGAAGTTTACTATATGGTCGAAGAGTTGATGAAAGAGAAATCAAATAACAGACTTGTTAAGAGTAACTGAGATGTACCTAAAAGAGAACACAGCTTAAACTTCTCTAGAAAAAATATATTTCTACTGTACGCTAAAAGAGCCTATATAAACATTCGAAAACAGTCAGTAACCTGTAAGAAGTACTTGTGTCAAGCATAAATTTACTATAAACAGTATCCTGGTCACGGCACCAAATATCTTCATCACTCCTGTATACTTCTTATTCTTTCTCATAGAAATGTTGTCTTTGTTTGTTTGTTTTTGTTAGCATATGTAAAGTATTATGTTCTTACATGTTGCATTCTGTATGCAAGATTTTCTGAGCACATTCATTTTCTTCAACACATATTTAAATTTCATTTGAATTAGAGATGTTTGTTCATGACAGAATCGGGTTTTACAAAGGTGGAGGCATGTGTGAATATTTGATAATGGAGAGTGAAAAGCAGCAACGAAATTCCTAATCTATTAAACCACCACTAATTTCTGGATCTTGTGGGCTTATAAATAGCCTACAATGGTTGGGGTGTAAAGAGATGGGCAGATAACGGAGACAAAAACTACATACATAAAAGAGTTGAATAGGAATAGACCACAACGCAAACCAAGAGGATAGTGAAGAGATAGATAATATACAGGCATCCCTGCAAATGCTTGAAGTCACCAACTGGAAAGAGATCAGTCACAGAGATGAAGGAATGTAGGTTATATCTGCAGTAGTGCACACCTCAAGGTCTTGAATGCTGGGTACTTAATTTATAACTTACCCCTAACGTCACGGGAGATATTCCCAATAAATTCTAGGGTGTTCAGGTTGTAGTTTCTCGCGATTTATCTACAGCCAAGTTTAGGGTTAGGGTTAGGGTTAGCATTAGAAGACACTAGATAAACACTCAAAAATAGCACCACACAACAGCACACTTCCACCCCTTGAAATAATGGACTGTCAGGTCAGCTGTGGATTTCCCACCAGGGATTTCGTGTTTGGGGTACGTTATAAATTAAGAACCGAATGCTGTACACAATTTAAACTTAATAGTCTGCTGACTATATAGAGTATCTTCTCTTACCACAGATATTTAAACCTAACAGTGTGCTAACCACCTTTACAGCCAGCATGGTTGGAGGCCTTGTCGTTACTGTATTCATGACACCCTTTGATGTTGTGTCCACAGATATTTAAACCTAACAGTGTGCTGACCACATTTGCAGCCAGCATGGTTGGAGGCCTTGTCATTACTGTATTCATGACAACCTTTGATGTTGTGTCCACAGATATTTAAACCTAACAGTGTGCTGGCCACATTTGCAGCCAGCATGGTTGGAGGCCTTGTCATTACTGTATTCATGACACCCTTTGATGTTGTGTCCACAGATATTTAAACCTAACAGTGTGCTGACCACATTTGCAGCCAGCATGGTTGGAGGCCTTGTCGTTACTGTGTTCATGACACCCTTTGATGTTGTGTCCACAAGGCTCTACAATCAACCAGTCAATAGCTTCGGCAGAGGAGCGGTATATTCAGGTGTGTTCAACTGTTTCTGGAAAATATTTCGCTCGGAGGGCTTGTGGGGTTTTTACAAAGGTTGGGGAGCATCCTACCTCAGACTGGGCCCTCATACCACTCTGGGTTTGGTGTTTTGGGATGAGCTCAGAAAATTGTATAATACTTGGAAAAACCCCCTCTTGGCTACAAAATCTAAACAAGATGTTTAGGTTATCAGCTCTGTGCATTTGTTACATGGATTAGTCATTTTGTTGTAATGGCTGTTATAATGCATTTAATTTAACAAGTTGATACATTTATTGTTATTATGCGCTTCACAAGTTGTATTTTTTAAATGCACTTCATAGGTTGTTACCATATTTACGTGTGTATAGACCGCATGCATGCATAGGCCACTCGTGTGTATAGGCTATACCCAGTTTCTGAGACTATATTATTGCGGAAAATTTTTTTTTTTAAATTGTAGTTGAGACACAAAAACTGAAACAGTAGTACCTGTAAACAGTGAAAGATTGGCAGTTTAAGAGCAAGCTGCAGTTGTAAATCGCAAGTAGTGCGTTATGTGTAAGTGAATTTAAAGTCAAGTTATGACTGGGCAAGTCACTTTGCGGCAGAAAAGAACCTTTTGATTCGGCTGTGGACAACAGTGGCGTAGGGATGTCCTGACACCTACCAAGATAAACTGTTTGGTTTCAAAGATATGTTCTGAAGTTACAGCAGGCACACAACAACAGCATGGGAGTAATTGGAAATCAAGATAAAACTCCTCTGTATCAATAAATTCTGTACAAGTGACATGTGGGCTTAGTATCTCTAATATAAGCCACACCCTATTTTGTCGACGATTTTTGGTCAAAATACTACAGCCTATACATGCGTAAAAACTATATTGTCATTATACACTTCGCAGGTTGTTACAATCAATGTTATTATGCATTTCTTCTTCTGCTTTTCTATCCCCTAATGGAGCATAGGCCCTCAACCAACTCACACCAAGTCGTTCTTTCCTTCGCTATTACATGAAGCTCTCCCCATGTCCTCCCCTCTTTCTAACTTCATTCTCCATCTCTCTTCTCCATGTGTTATTTTTGGCCTTCCTTTATTCCTATGCCCCTGTGGGTTCCAATGCAAATGCATTCTAGTTCTGTTCTCTGGTTTTCTCAATGTGTGTCCTATCCAACGCTAGCGTCTTTTCCTCATCTCTTGGTCCACTGGCGCTTGCTTAGTTCTCTCCCACAGCTCTACATTAGTTATTCTATCATACCATTTAATTCCCTCTATTCTGCGCAGGCACCAATTAATGAATGTCTGCAATTTATTAGTAATTGCCTTAGTTGTTATGCATTTTACATATTGTTAAATATTTTTTATGATGCAGTTGTTACAATCATTGTTGTAATGCGTTTCACATATTGTTATTTATTTTTTTATGATGCAGTTGTTACAATCATTGTTATTTGTTTCACATCTTATTACATATATTTTTATGATGCACTTCATTTGTTGTTAATGATGCACTTTAGGAGTTGTTATAGTCAATGCAGTGTTTTCCTGCTGTGAATTTAAAGAATGAATATGCCTAGCATATTTTGCTCTATCTCATCAGGTGCATACTAATTTCCGTGGTAAAGCTAGTGAGACGTCTCTATCTTTATCTCTTTACTTTCTGGCTTTGTTCCATTCTAGTCCTCTATCAGTTAGGGACTGTCGGATCTTGTCTTCCCAGCGCACCCTGGGTCGTCCTGGAGGTCTGGTTCCCTGGTTCTTAGCCTCCCATGCCTGCCATGGTGGCCGATTTTCTCCCATTCTGCATACATGTCCAAACCATCGTAACTGTGACTGATCCACTCGGGTTTGTAAGGACTGGCTTTCAAGATCTTGACGTATTGTCTGATTGCGGACTTTGTCTCTTCTTGTCACTTGGACCACCTTTCTCAGATATCTCATTTCCGAGGCCTGCAGCTGGCTTCTGTGAGCTGTTGTCATTGCCCATGACTCACACCCATAGGTCATATTTCCATCTTCTTTGTCTTTTAACTAATAATACAGGTGGTGGTCCAGTAGAATTCTTTCGGTCCAACACATCCGCTTCAGTGAACTACCAAATAATCGTCTTATCTTACATGCTTTTAGAGGGTAGTGGGTCTGTTCTTGTTTCTCTCCAAAATGGGACCCCTAAACCCTTATGAGAAACCTCCCAGGTAATTTTCTGATGTTCATTTTAAGCTGGGTTAACATTGGATCAACAGTAATATAAAAACACCAGGTGTTGACCCAGTGTCCGGTTGACATTGGATCAACAGTAACGTAAAAACACCAGGTGTTGACCAAGTGTCCGGTTGACATTGGATTAACAGTAATGTAAAAACACCAGGTGTTGACCAAGTGTCCGGTTGACATTGGATTAACAGTAATGTAAAAACACCAGGTGTTGACCCTGTGTCCGGTTGACATTGGATTAACAGTAATGTAAAAAAACCAGGTGTTGACCCTGTGTCCGGTTGACATTGGATCAACAGTAATGTAAAAACACCAGGTGTTGACCCAGTGATCAACTGTGCCTCAACATGAATGCCTTATAATTATTTATACTAATTACAATTTACAAAAACTCATCAGACCGGTTTTTATTAGAATTTGCATTTAATGTACAGAATTTGGTTTCTCTGGGAAATACTCATATCTCAAACATATTAACAGTCATAAATTTTCAATAATATGCACAGTGTATTACCAGTTTTTCACTGTATCTTCTCAGGCACATACTAAAGTAGCATAATTAAGTAGAAAATTCTCTTAACTGAACTTGCAAATAGTGTACCTGATAAAACAGCATTTATATTTGAGGTATTTTTCATTTGTTGCCTTTTGTTGTTTGTATTAATACAACTTCCCTTTATGAAAATTCAGCACAACAAACTCATTTTTATTATTATTCAGTAAAAAAAACTATTGTTAATACAGATTGTGCAATTTATCTGGTAATTTTAGCCGGAGGATATGTCATAGTTTTCATTCTGGGATTTTGATTGCTATATACATATGTAAGTTCTTAACTTGTTTCTCATGATTTTGTTGTCTTCCTAGCACTGCATGATATTAAATTGAGGTGAAAAATAAGTGTGTTTTAAAGTTTTTTTACTATTTTAAAATATTATATTTTATGATGATGATGTTCGCCTCTTAAAAGGCAGTTGGCACGTTGTGTTATGGTTTACACCTAAACTGCTGTATCCGTGCCTGTCGACCCAACACATCAATGAAATCTTGAATTTCAGGCATTTGTTCAAACAGTTCTGTATATTTAGTTCTAGCTGGTCTAAAAGCTGTACTGTGTTCCTGTTGCAAGTGAGCTTGTTTGCAATATGTTTATTGCTACAATTACTCAGAAACATTCCAAATTGTTTATCCTGCTCCAAAGTTTGATATGATCATACTTGAAATTTATTATTGTATACCATTATTACTAATCTGAAGAACTGTCCTATTCTTTCTTGCACATTTAGAAGTCCATAATTTATATAGGGAAAACATTTAACTCTTAACAGAAGCCAGCTATTTCCCATTTTTAAAAAAGTAAAGGACCCTTTTCCACGCCTTTTAGGCATATAGGGCTAGACCTATATTTTTATAGACCAATCGGCACAAGATGGGGTCAGCATCACGCCGGCCGCCTTTACTTTCCCGGGATTGCACCCAGTACCCACTCAAGGCTGGGTCAACCTGGGAGCCAAGGTCATTTTTTTTTTTAAACGTCCGGCTCCGCCAGGGAGTGAACCCATGACCTTCTGATCCCCGACGAGTGTCTAGCCGCTCGGCCACGGCGACTCCCAGATATTTCCCATGTTTATATATTATTTTTTCTATTTTCTTCAAACACAAGTTGATATGCACAATTTCTTTAATAGTCATGCTGTTAATTATTCACATGTTTACAATAGTTGATGACAAAAGTTTGAAACAATAAATCACTAGTTATAAATACAAGTGTTCCCTTATGAATACTTTATAATATCAGCACCATAGTTCTGGTTCTTTGTCTTTTCAAAGTCAGACTGTTGCATCAGATATTAATGTTTTCTCATTTGAGGCATCTTGTTGACAATGTTACATTGACCAATATTTCCAGAAGTGATGCCTTTTTTTTTTTTCAACTATGAATTTAAGTGTTTGAAACCTTGAGAATTTCTGTTTGTTACTCGTTTGATATGAATTTTCTGTATGCAGTCTTTCATTGTTGCATTTAATTGAATTGACTCCTATCATATGTCAGTCAACTTCTCTATGTACATATATGCAATAGAGAAACTGATATGGCTGTTGCATTGGAGGACAGAGCATGTATGGGTTGGACTGATATGCTAGGATGCTGAAAAGGTAACAAGTAAATATGAGTGAATCGGTGGTGAAAACGGTTTCAAGCAGTTTTGTAGAATGTAGCTGTGTGTGTGTGTTTTTTTCCATTGCAATTTATTTATCTGTGTTTAGTGACTTTGTTAAGAAAAGATATCATGTTAAAGTGACATTTTGTTTGCTCTTCGATTTCTTTTTCAGCTTGATTTGTCATGCTGTATGTATTTTTGTAAAATTCAAATCCTTTGATGTAAAATATAGTTATGTGGCCAGTGACTTTATGCATAGAAAAATATCAGTGGTTATAGCATTATTGAAATATTACAGTATTTTCTTCTGGATGATTATACCAATACATTGTACATAAGTGGGTCTGTTTATTTTACAAAACTTTAATTTAAAAGGACATTGTGAAGAGTCAAACAAGCACTGTTAAACCCACTGACTACCAAGCCAATTCTTCTTCTTCGTTCACTGGCTGTGAATTCCGGTGGAAGGTCCCGGTTAATCGTCCGCTTGGACTTTTGGCTTTTACCTGGACCTGAATTTTGCGTGTACAACCGTTTTACTGGCTTTTGCTGTTCCCTGCCTCACGAGCAGATGTACTCCGACTTCGAGGGAAACCAAGCCAATTAACCCTTGCACCTTCCCAGATAAGATTTTTAGTGTCTATTAAAAATGCCAGAGCTTCTCAACTTTTAGACATAAACTTATAATGTTTTGTACCTAACTGAATGGAGAACAATCTTCAAGAATAAAAACTGCAAAATCTTGTTTGACGTAATTGACATCATCATGTAGCTGTACATTGGTGCACAAAAGGCAACCGAAAAATTGTTTTTTCTGACAGCAGTATAGACTAACAAACATGCCATAGCTTCACAGCTGTTTAACATAAACTCAGTATTTTGCATTTGTGCTAGTATTTAAAAAGAGAACAAATTTCAAGGATTTGAAAAAAAAATTTGCTTAATCTTGTTTTTTTGTCATCATTATGTGGCTGTACATTGCTACAAAAAAGGTAACTGAAAAATCTGACACCAGTGTAAGAAATTTTTTTTGTTTTTAAATGCTGAAATAATCCTGCCTAACTGTGAAATAAAATTCTGTAAATTCAGTGACTGTTTACTGTTTTTCACCAAGAACTATTACAGTATGACTGAACTGTCAAACTAAAAAATCCACAAAAATGATCTTCCCCAAGGTGCATATTGTGGAAATGGCACCCCACTAAAAGTCAAGGATTGCATTGTGAAATGATATTCACTAAACTCGAGCCACAGGTCTAGATTTCAGCATTAACAGGCCCAGAGGGTAAAGCAATTTCCCCATGTGGGGAAAATGAATAGACCCACTGCCTTCTGAATAAGCGTGCTAAAAAAGTTGATTAACTGGGGGTTTCCTTCAAAGTCAGAGTGCATCTGCCTGAGAAACAAGGAACCTACAGTCTGCATACAAATTAATCACCTCTGCAAAACAGATGTGCATGCACTACCCAGGCTCTGGAACAAAACTAAGCTCAGAGGTGGTTGAACAACCAGAACTTTCTGCCGGAGTTTACAGTAGGTGAACGCGAAGAAGATGAAATGAACTAATGTTTTTTTTTTGTACACCCAGTATAAACTGCAGTTAGTGATAACTTGATGCCATTTATTATAATCAGTCCAAACCGAAACTAATTTTGTGATAGTCTTGATAGGTTGCCATAACTGTATATATTCTTTACTTTGGGATGATGGTTTTTTTTTGTACATAAAGTTGTCTACCGGCAAACCAAAAGGCGACCCAATCGCCACTGTCCTGCCAGTTTTTTTTTTTCCGTTTTTTTTTTATTTATAAGGGAAGTCCCTAATGAGAATTTATACTTAACTACTGAAACAGATTGTCACCTGATGTGCAGCTACTGCCTCCCTCCCACGTTTCAAGAAAACTAAATATTTTCATTTACTCCAGAACTGTATTAGCTTTGGGGACAAAAATCAGGCTACTTCTGAAAAAACGTTACTTGTCATCCACATCGACATCCTATCACACTGTTTGTTCTCCGTCCTCTGATGCAGCAGCTCTCTGTGCGTACTGTGCCCAGTAGGAGCTGACTGGTGTATCTTTCTTTACCCCACAGCCAGTCTGTACATGCTTGTCCTCATTTAGTACCCATTTCCAACAGGTGGTCCATTGCCTTTGACTCCTTTGTCTCAACATCTCTGGAACGCAGCAGTGAATTCAATATGTCTGCCCTGTCCATACTTCTTCCTCCGCCACCTACTACAGACATGTTCAGTCTGTCCTTTCACCCTGGCATGGACAGCCAAGATATTCTGGAGATTTAACCGAGACCAGTCTTATGTGCACTAACCACTTTTATCTAGAGTACTAAGAGAAATATTAAAGAAGAAAGTCCTAAGTTTTGTGGCCGGTCCCAATTTATAAAGCTAGGTATCTTATTTATTTACTTTTATTGCACAGTACTGACCAACAAATAAATTCTTGTTCTGCTGTTCAGGTTGCATTTATACATTGGCACCTTTCTGTCTTTCCAAACGATAGTGTTATAGTGCGCTATTAGGAGGCATGGGACTCACAGCCCATGGCGATGCCAAGTTTGACCGGCAAGACCTGCAAAAAAAGTCTTCCATTTATAGAAGGGGATTTTAGGACCATTGGTGTCAACATTTGTGTTTAGTCCATTTTTTCTCAAATGCTCAGCTCTCATCCTTTCTGCAGTCATTTTTTCCTTCATTCTCATTCCCTTCCTGATGTGTTCCCTCCTCACAACATGGCCCATGGTATTTTGTTCCGAGTTCACCTCAATACCTGCATCATTTATGTCCCACTTGCACACATCTTTATATTGTAGTAGAGGTCAGCCTTGACATCTTCTACCCGTCTTTGATTCACCATAGAGGATGTCCTTAGGGACTCTTCCATCCTCCATGTGTGACCCAGCCACCTGAATCTTGAGAAAACTGTTGCTCTTTCCAATATGTTTGGGATCTTGTCCTGCCACTCAATGAGCGATATTCTTCTTAGGCATTGCATGTGAAAGCTATTCAGCTTTTTCTCCTGGTGCAAATAATTTGGCCAAGTTTCACAACACAAGCCTGATAAACAAGAAAAAATAACTGAAGGTTGCATAACCTTAATACAGTTGAACACATCATCCTCTCTGTGGATTCTGGGGCCCCATTGAGGGGGAAACAAGCAGGTCCTAAGAGTCAACTAACAGGGGGCTTCCCTCAAAGTCGGAGTGCATCTGCCTGAAAGTGTAGGGACCAACAGTCTGCATAAAATAAGCCATATCTATAAAACAGATGTGCGAGCAACACTCAATTTCCGGAACAAGATAAGTCCAGAGGTGGTATGACAACCAGACCTTTCTGCCAGAGTTTACAGCTGGTGAGCATGAGGGTGGAAAAGAACAAAGCAGGCACACTGTGTACTTGCCCTAACCATTAACAAAAACAAAAATCATTCAGTTTAATAAATGTTTATTTACACCAAATATAACCATTATAATTCTACTTGTTTCTCTTGACCCTGTTCTTCTTATTACCGCCTCCCTTCCTTCCAGCAGAGGCACCTTTTCCTTTTTGTTTCTTTGGTGTTTTTCTGCTTGGTCTCTCTCGACTCCTGAAACAATAATTTCAAATAAATTCAAGATAAGTGAAAGAGTACAGATGTACCCTACAAGGTAAGAACAAGCCCATGAACACAAGAATTAATATATTTATCAATTATACATTTATATTACATAAAGCATCATCATCATTTAGTAGGTGCCAGGTTACCCAATTCCCTGTTGTTTTAAATACCTAAGATATGTTTAACATTTTGTGTCAACTGTCATGCAAGTGAGCCCAGATATTTTATTTGAAGCCACGCTCTGACTTGATGCTGTTTATGTAAAAACTAATTTCTTAGAATTTCAGATCCTGGAGACTGGAAATACTTTTTTCTTCTTAATCCATGGTATTCAAAGAATTTTTATGCAAAATTTAGGTTCAAGGGCCATATATTCTTCTTTAAAAAAAAATTTTTTAACGAAGAAGCATATTCACACCATTAACAAATCAGGTATTTTCTAGAAGATATTTTAGGCTTTGTCGATCTTGCAGCCAATATCTATTTCTTCCAGTTGTCCTGCTTAAATCTTAACCTAAGACATTCAGTTCAACAGACCAGAGTCTAGCCACTACACTATCACAAGCTCTCCTGGTGTGTTCTGAAACCCCATTTTGAAAAGAATCGATCCTGTGACCCCTTCCCACTCAACAAGAATGCTGACGATGAACTACCCTACAATGGGGAAGTGAGTATCCTAATCTGTAGTATTTTGCATCTCATTGCATCCATGTGGATACTAAGTGCCAGGTTTTATGTGCACCTGGCAAAAAAAAAGGATCCTATGCTTACTACAAAGTTAAATATAATATACATAAAATAACTAGTTTCCTGACTGCATAATACAAATTATAAGTAAAACAATAATGAGATAATATGAGTTAAGCTTTAAAGCAAGGTTTAATTAATATATCATTTTGGAAATATTTCACACACAGATACAACGCTACAGATCCACCTACCGCTGCTCCTCGCTTTCTCTAAGAGCTCTATTTGTAGCTTTCGTGACGTTTATTGTGGGAACTTTCTTGGCATTAACATCCAGGATTTTTAATTGCCGCTCCCTTTCATTTTTGAGATCACCGATAGATGGCTCAAACTGAAAAGTAGCAATAACTTACATCAAATAAAATTATTTTCATAAACGGAGTACAATGTGTAAATTGATCTATTCTTAGGTCTAGGACGCTTGATAATTTATCTTCTTTATACTAACCTGCTGTTAAATCCAGCAGAATATTCTGGTTATTTGTCCACTTCTGGACATTGGTCTTTCAGCATACGCATCAGTTTTACAGATCTTGCTTATTTGTATGCAGAGTGTTGGTTCCTGATAGGCGAGGAACTAACGCACTTTGACTTTAGAGAAAACACCCCTAATTACTCGACTCTAAGACGTGCTTGGTAGGGAGCAGTGAATCAATAGGGGGAGGGGCAGATCCCACATTGCAAAATCTACACCAGTATCATAAAGCAGGTGCACCAGGCACATGTTGCTAGACCCATTATTTTGTAAACAAAGACACATGGTCAACATAATGCCAGCGACCTTTACTTTCCAGTCACATATTTAAGGCAAGGTCAGCCAGGGAACAGTGGTCAATCAAGCCATGTTTACTTTACATGAGCTGTTCTTTTCATATAATTTACTGTTGTGGCACATTAGGCTGCACTCTAATGCTTTTGAAAAATCTTAGCAAGGGGCTGGCTCACTTATGTGGCGGGTGTCACATGTGTATGTGTCCTAATTCAGAATTTGTGTCTAAACATCTTCAGGTTGACATGTATGGCCTAATTTACAGTAACTGGTTTTCTATGAATAAATAAACTTAACAAGAAAGCAAAACTGGTCAGCTTTACAAGGGCACAATGACAAGTGTCACAAGATGCTACAGTTAAAAAACCGTTGTTAACTCAAAAACAAAGAAACTGATACAACTATATTACAATACTCGATAAATGTCACTTTGCTTTCAGGTATGGACTCGGAAAACACCTGCACACTACAGGACACACACAAAATTTGTGCCACAGTTCCATAGATCAACTGACAGGAAATGACAACCGGGGTGGCATAAAATCCAAATAAGTGAATGTATACAAAAAAAGAAGTAGCAATTCAAGTGAGGAAAGAGATGATCCAAAAATTAGTTACATAAAACTGTTCAACATTAGGATGCATGACAAAGAGACCCCCAAATGAAAAGTGGTGCTGTACTACTGTACTTTTAATAATAAAACTGAAGACATGTGGGTTCTACTCTCAGTTTAGAACTTCCTGCTTCAATCCCAACATACAATTCAGCATTGGTTTCTAACAATATCACACATCTTCCTGATCTCTCAGAATGCAAAACAGAAGACCTAGTTTTCTCACATACTGGTGAAAGATAGAAATTTGGACATCAGAGTTCAACGCATAGCTGTGCGTTAAAAAAAAGTTATGTTACTTATCCTTCACAGGACACTGCAGAACCAACCACAGCATTTTTTGGCTGTTGTGGTTTTTCTAGGCAAATTTTACGTTTAGCAGTTTGCTGTGTGTACACCCACCTAAAAAAATATACAAAAAATATAAAATAAATGCCTCAAATAATGAACTAACCTTTCTTTTCTTGCCTGTAAATTTGGACGGCTTCTCTTTAGGTAGTTTCTCTGTAAATTTGCCCAAAGAAGCTGTTGACTTGCGAGCAACAACTAGGGCTTTGGATAAGGTATCCTTACTTGGCTGTTCTGTTGGTGTCAAGCCAACACCTGGCACTGAAAGACAGAAATGGTTAATTTCTTGTTATGCAACTCTCTCTTAAGTAATACAGCACACCACCACCATCATCACATGCACACACAAAGACATTTGATAGTCATCTTTACTGGTAACCTGTTCAGTGCAGACTGCTTAAGGCTTTGGTCTTCACTTCAACCTGGGGGGAAGGGGAGGGGGGCGGTGTCAAGCAATCTCAGGTTGGGTGTAATTAATCAGAATTTTCACAGCTTTAAGTCATGGAAACAAAACAGCACCAGCTTGATGTTGGGAGTGATAGTTGTTATGCCTTGTCAAACATCAGACATCATCAAGACTAAACAATGTCAACCATCACATGGATATTTGGACACTAATTTTACCAGTTGTGGATAATCAAGACTAAACAATGTCAACCATCACACATGTATTTTTGGACACTAAATTACCAGTTGTGGATAATCAAGACTAAACATTGTCAACCATAACATGGATATTTGGACACTAAATTACCAGTTGTGGATAATCAAGACTAAACAATGTCAACCATCACACATGGATATTTGGACACTAAATTACCAGTTGTGGATAATCAAGACTAAACAATGTCAACCATCACATGGATATTTGGACACTAAATTACCAGTTGTGGATAATCAAGACTAAACAATGTCAACCATCACATGGATATTTGGACACTAAATTACCAGTTGCTGGATAATCAAGACAAAATAGTGTCAACAATCACATTGAGATTTGGTCACTAAATTACCAGCTGGTGATTGTTTCTTGATTTTATAACTCTTATGTGCATGGTTTTCTCCAAGTTCTTGTTAACAGTACCTGGGATTTTTCTTTTCCCTTTTTTAAGAGCATTTTGTTGTGGTGGTGTCTGTATACTCGGAAAGGGGGAAAAGGGGGGGGGGGGGGGGGGCACATAAAAAAGGTGGAGAACACTGGCTTAGGGTGATCTTGAATGTGGCAAATTTCTGTTGTGAAGAACAATCTGTTTATTCCTGGCTATTTTTCTTCTTTTGTCTTTGAATTGGATAAGAGGAATTTCTAACAACAATTTCTTGGTTCCCTGGTGATTTATTATCAGGTCTACACTGTTAGTTGTGTATCTTTTAGAGATAGTTGCAGAGCCAAACCTAGCATTTATTGGCTGTTGCAGTTTATAAGGCAAATTTAACAATCAGTAGTTTACTAAATTTTATGGTCAGCACTGTAATGATTTCTTCTCTGTTTACCGGCTGTAGGTCAGACAGAAAAGTCCTGGTTGTTCAGCCATCTGGACTCTAGCTTTGTGCCAGGACCTGAGTTTTGCTGACACCCGTTTTACTGACTTATTTTATGAGGCAGTGGGTCTATTCTTGTTTTCCCCATAGTAGGGCACTTGAACCCACACACAGTTGTACTGTTTCAAGAGCCTTTATCAAAAACAAAAAACCTGATATGGTACTTAAGGATGTGCTAAATTGTATGAATATATTCTAGTCATGCTCTATTTATGTGATACACAAATATATGAGAACAAATATACAAACATTCTCCAACTGAAAAGTTGTATGTGACCTGTTCCAATTGGATGTGAATTCTTCTGAACACTTCATTGTTTCTTCACTTTCTTTATTATATAAGGTTCTACTTCTTGCTTTTCTGCCATGACAGACTGTGTTGTAGTCAAGTTTCTCTTATCTTATTTTCCATCGTTTGTGTTTTACATCCTTCGCCTGTTTTAGTGTGTGCTCTATACGATGTCGTCACAAAGCTCTAAGTGGGTTAACCGTGTGATTTACTGTCTTTGAAAGTAATTTAGAAATCGTTCTAAGCTGTTAATAATGAAGTAAATGGATCCTGTGGAGTTTATAAGCTGTAAATATTCCATCTTTATCAAAGCCATAGTGAAAAAATGTTTGCGGAGGGTTTGCTGAAAGGCACAGCCTAGCTGTAAACCACAACATAACAGGCAAACTGCCCTTGTAAGGGAAACACACAAGAAGCGAAAGGTAACAAGTGACATTCACAAGCTACATAAATAACTGACTACTTACCTTTACGTTTTTGAGATCTGGCAATGTTTCGCAATCTTTGCAACTCATTTTTAGCAACCCTTTCTTTTTTGGCAGTTTGCCTTTTTGCGAACTGATCCTCCATGGGGTCTGAAATAATAGTGAAATTCTCATGGTTAAACCAGTATAAAAGAAAAACATTTGCAGGAGACCCATCATCATTATGCAGCAGACTTTCTGCAGAGGATGGTCATTCTAATTTTCATACCTCGTGATGATGATATGCAAAACTTACATGGTGATGATATAATGCAACACTCATATGGTGATTAGAGGAAATCTCATGCAGTAATATGATGCAAAACTCACATAGTGATGACAAGAGAAAAACATGATGTGATGCAGAATTTACATGATGATGACAAGAGAAAAACATGATGTGATGATGATATGATGCAGAACTCACATGGTGGTGATAAGAGGAAAACTACCTGTTTAATAAAAGAGAGAAATAAGTCTCCCTGGTGAAGTGGACAAGCCATCTTATTCATGTTCTAAACATTTATTCACGGCTGTGGCATTCAGGTTTTTACGGAGATCCTTATGGAAATTACAGAGAAAGGAGAAATGCAAATAATAAAGCTCTTACCGGCATTTGCAGGTACCTCAATAAGCCAATCTTGAGTCCCATCATTGGCTCTTTTGTAACCCCAGCGAGGCTTGTACTCCTGATAGGGAAAATAAAAAAACTATACTTGTATTTCACTTAAATATACAGATGAAGAAAATCAAACAATAGATCGCCATAATTGTACAGTAGGTTCTTTGCTGAGCCTCACTCTCATCACATTGCTGAACTTCCTGCCTTGTGAACATTCATCTCCAGACCGTCCTTAATATCCTGTGGCCACTGTCCTGCTGTTTGACAACTGCTTTTTCTTTCAGAACCTATATAATCAACTACTGGCTTTTCCAAACTATTATCACTTTTTTTTTCCTTATCCACCACCAACACATCCAATTCCAGCAAATCATTAACTAATCTTTACAACATGCTTGTTAAAGGACAGTGGGTCTATTCTTCTAAACCCCCACCCTAACCTGGGAAGCTAAAATACATACTCAGCCATTATGATGTTTAATATGGCGAATGTAGTTCACTCTCAAAGAAATATGACAATAAGCTGTGTTCACTGAATATAAGAAGAAGGCTATCCTAAGTGTAATTCTAAACCTGTTATGCATTATGACAGCAAATTTTGGAATGTAATCAGATTAGGGAGAGATTGGGAGTTGTGATGATGTGGTTTCTGATGTTGTGTATGCCCAGAAAAAGCTAATTAAAATATAACATCTTATACGAATGTGAGAAAGCGGCTGGCTGCTCTTCTGTAATGTGACAACAAGGGAAAGTACTGGAAAACACTGTGGCAACAGGAAAGATCAGCGGTAAAAGGAAGTAACACCAAGAAATGGGACTGAATAGTTTAACTCTGTACTGGTTTTTAATTTTTTTAATGACACGAAGTCTCTGGGCAGTAGCCATTACCCCTATATAAATTTTGTACTGGTTGTAACTGCAGTGTGTAGAGATGACGGGTATGACCATATATACCCACACACACAAAAACTGAACGATATTAGGTGGTAAACGGACATGATACCATTATATCAAAAAATCTCATATAACGGCATTTTGTTCTCTGTAACTAAGTCAACAAAATCATGTTTATCACTTTCAAACTCTTTTCTCTGTCTGTAAGTAAAATAGTAACCATCACTTTAAAGGCCAGTGGCGCTTCAGGCATACGAGGCTAGACTGACATTTTTATAGACCAATGGGTGATGTGGTCAACATTGCGATGTAACAATGGTTTGACATGGGAGTCATGATCATGCACACAAAAATCCGGTTCCATGCAGATTTGAACCCTCGACCTTCAGTTCCACATGTGAGCTTCTAGCAGCTCCACTATGACAGCAACAACTCCCTTCCCCGCAGAAAGGGGAGAGTGGCAGTGCATGGCAAATATCACATCCTATCTGTAAAAAACAACACAACATGCCAACCGCCCCTTATAGAGCAAAACGCAGAAGAAACTAGTCGTTTTTCTTCCAAAATAGGGCCCAGAAACCCAAACAGTCTATGGTCAAGCTGGCCAGAAAAAAAAAAAGAACTAGAAACTCATGTCCCAACATTTTAAAAAGTACAGACGGAACCGCTTACCTTGGCAGCCTCATCCCACACCATTCTGGATTTTTTCTTATTTAAGATGCCCTTTGATTTGGCGTACTCCTGCCATTTCGTTACTGCTCTTTTCTTTGGGATCTATAAATGACGAAATCATTATGTTACTAATGTGCCACACACAGTTGACAGTAGCTAACATGTCTGGCCTTGTAGGGAAATACTGCATTGCCTACAAATCTTTACCTTCATAGTAATTAAAAGATTTAAAGTTTTTAAGAATAATGTAGCTTCTATACAGTGGTCTATGAACAGTTCAAATTTATATTTCATAATTCAATTGTGAACATTTTCTCAATGTCTTTGTAGAATTGTTAACTTAAAATTCTTGAAATTTTAAATGCAACATCTGGATTATACATCTTCATGTTGAAATTATCAACATCTAACACAATTTAATACATAGCTTTTATGCTAGCTTAACCAAAGGCTAATTTCTTTTGACCTCTAATGAAGCTAAAGTAAAAGCAAATTTTTAGCAAGATGGTGAAAACAGCTTTTTACCGCTCTACCTATGTGCCAGTCCTGGTCTACAGGTATGTGGCAAAGGCAACGACGACAGCTCACAGAAGCCAGTTTCAGGCCTCAGAAATAGGATATCTGAGAAAGGTGGTTCAATGGACAAGAAGGGAGAAAGTTTGCAGCCAGACAATACATCAGGATCCTGAAACCCAGGCCTTACAAATTCAGTCAGTTACATTGGTTTGGACATGTAAGCAGAATGGGAACTTGAGTTTTGCTCAACTATTTTAGAGAGCTGGTTTACTTGCGGGCAGACTATTGTTTCCTCGCCGCTCAGACTAAGGACAAGATTAAATGATTGAATCCCCATCAATGTAATTTGTTTTCAAGATGTTCGATTTTTGTGTATTCTTCTTCATATAAGTGTTACTGTAGATTGGTGTAATGTGCAGCATGCACTTGTAGTTTGTGCTTACACTATTCTGAAGCTGGCTGGGTTTTGTCTTTCTGAAATTTATATTTTACCATTTTAGTGTGCTATAGGATGTGCGGTGGGGTGGGGGGGGGGGGGTCTGAGGATTTGTGCAAGCTATGATTTTTTCTTCTTATTTCAACATAAAAAATCATCCTTCGATAAGGATCAAAGCATGTTGCCACAGGACGACTTATATTGTGCTATGAGAAGGCATGGGACTCCCAGCCCGTGGCTATGGCAAGTGGGCTAGCAAGGCCCGCCCATGTTAAGAACTGTTGATTAGCTGTTTCAACAAGTATCTGTCCTTTTTTATAACGTACATGCAGTTTACAAAACAGTTAACTTTAAACATGGCATAAATTTTCAATATCTAGGCTCCAAATAAACAGCAATGGAGACTTTAACAGAAGCCCAAGGGAGAATGGCAATAGCAATGCAAAGATTAATCAATTTAGAAGTCTACAGCAAAGAACTAGCAATATGAATAACACAAATCACTTACAGGCTTCTCCCTTGGCAGCCACATCTTAATCTCTGGGAGCTTGAAATAAAACAAAAAAGATTCTGTATTCAATTCAGAATGTCTGTAACATTAAACACAGTCCAATATGACCTTTGTACATAACTTTTCCTATATGTGCAGATAATGCAGCCAAGCTGAAAACCACAACACAACAGGCCAACCATACTTTCAAGAGCTAATACTGAAGGAAGAAGAAGACTTTCAAAGTTAAAATATGTGTACTGTGCTGTGTATAATCATATTTAGATTTAATTAGCATACCCACCTCAAGTATTAAATATATATCACACAGTGTTGCATGATACATACTGACAGTAGTTGGACAACATTTGTGACGCTGTGATTTCAGTCACAGGAGCGAGGGAAAGTTAAGGCTGCTGTGGTGTGTATAAGGAGTTAATACCTCAACTCAGGCTCCTGAATGTGCTGGTTATACGGATCCTCATGCAAGGTTCCTGTCAGACATTCTTATCATGTGCTATGGATAATGGCCTTTATTAGCCTAAACTGGGCTGGTTAGGGGTCTCCGAGTTGGTGGCCACCAAACATGCAAGAAATCCTCTGGCACTCACCAGTCCACATCCCTTATATGGGTGGTAGCGTGCATGAGAAAACTCATTTGGAACATAAGTAAAAGTAAGTTAGCTGAGTACCCTATAAAATGATAAACTCAGCAAATGTTTGCTGGCTAAAAGCTCTACTATATGACAAATCTTGGTTCAAACATCTGTCCATCAAGTGTCCCACTGTATGACAGCAATGGTTTAGATGTTCCTATCTTGAAGATCCTACTTACTGACATAAAAGCTTAAAATATCCGCTACCAATGGCTACACTTATCAGAGTAATGGCAATACACGGAAGCTATGCTATTGTCAAAAAGAGAAGTCTAGCATGCTGAGGAAGTGAGATGCCCATTTGTGCAAGGAATCTCAAGTGTCAGGTCTGCAGACTGCTCCTGGTGGGTTCTTAAAGGGTGCAGTTTGTATTGAGTGGAAAGCTCAACATAAAGATGTCAGGTTATGCAGTCATGTGCAGGACATGACATTCCTTGGGTGAGCCCAGTACCAGAGCACCATGTATCAGCTCTGCACTTATGGAAACCTTTGATAGCGGGGAATGCCATGCTCTGCCCCTGCTTTCCTTTGAGCCCAGCAAGCTGAATGTGGCTGCCCTGGACGAGTTCTCACCTGTGGATCTGGGAATTACAAATTTACCACATCGTGACATATATGCGGCTACAAATATCCCATGATACTAACTAATGCTTGAAGAAGGTGGATGTGTTGACCAAACAATGGAGAAGACCACATGCATTTATGTATGTATATTGTACCCCACCAGGACATCACACAAAGCGATAAACACCTGGTGACATACAGTGCCACCATGCGGATGAGGATCACTCGTGGAGAGTTTCCAGAAACCCAGTTCAGCCGTTAGACCATATTTATGCCAGAAGCTAGGGCGGGGCTTCAAATAACTAAAGATTTGCATCCTACATTGAGACAACTGTTTAATGAAGGTTCCTTGGGAAAGAAAGTTGAATAAGCGTAAATATATACAACTGATGATGGTTTACAAAGTAAAACTTACAGTCACAACATAGGTGCCTTCAACTTGCTCAACAGGAAGCTGTGAAAAACAACAAAATACTGTTACCTTTGTAAAAAAAAAAAAATTATTTGAGCTGGTTTATTCCTCCTGACTGCAATACAATCTGAAAGCCTAATCAGATGTTTACTATAATGATTATGTTCTCAATGTTTTAGTAATTTGTTACTAACTACAGATGATTTTGATGAATCTGACAGTATAAAACTAATGGAGTTAAGGAGTGGAAAATTTGAGCCAGATATTTCTAAAACATGTTATCATCATCATCCTGATGTACCAATTAAATACCACCCGACTTATAACTTGCAGTCTATTCTCCATTTTTGTTCTTGTGCAATCTTGCTAATACCATGGATGTCATCCAGTCCAACATCTTTGACCTCTAGTCCAACATCTTTGACCTCTTTCATCAATATCTGTTTTGGGTTTCTCTTAGACATCCTCATTTCCATTTATTTCCCCTTTCAGTAACTCCGTCCCAACATGGGACGCAATTTGCGTTGTTATTTTAAAGCCCCACCCCGGTTGTTGTCGCATGCCCTAATATAACCCCATGGTTTTTATCTGAGTGATGACACTTTGTGTCACCGGGTGATTATCACTCGCTGTAAGTCATGGTGGGGGTTGAACGTCAGTCAGTCATACTGTCACTGTCTAATTATCAGAAAGTGCCCAATATAACAATTGGTTTGTTTTTCTTATAAATATTGCTACCAGTGATTATCCAGATATTTCTCCTTTTTTCTTGAATTCAGCCTATTTATGTCCATTAATTTCCTCAGGCATCTGTTTTGATTAAACTAATGCTGCATGTTTCACTAGTGTATGCTAAAATAACAAAAATGTGAAATATGTAATTTGGTTAAAAACTGTACATGATTACATATTTTATATAAAGCTATTTGTTTTAAATAAATGAGGCAACTTTACAAATAAACGAACAAAGAAATGCAATCACCTGCCACAAGGAATTAAACAGTGTTTGGACCGCACTTCGTGTGCTCTGTCTGATTACTTCCTCGCCATTTTGTCTGAAAACAAAGAAAATAATAATTAGCACATGACAAAAATGCTGAATGAAGAATCAACTTCACAGCACTTGGGACACTCCCATAAGTGCTTAGTCCTTATCTTCAGCAGCAAGCGAAGAGTTCCAAATCCGATGGTACCAGTAATTGTCTGATTGTTTATCCGTCTCATCCTTCCCCTTGAGTGTTGAGCGTTGAGGCACATGACAAAGAGAGAGATCAGTGCAAGAAGCCTGACTTCGCAGTTAGGCTCAATCTATCCATAAAACTCTGACAGTGAATGATTAATAAACTCCCCCCCCCCCCACCCCCCGTGTGGGTTCTGGGGCCTCATTGTGGGGAAAACAAGAATAGACCCACTGCCTCCCCAAAAACATGTCGTAAGAGTTGACTAATTGGGGAGCTTTCTTTGAAGTCGGAGTGCATCTGCCAGAGAGGCAAGGAACCAACAGTCTGTATTCAAGAGAATGAGATCTGTAAAACTGATGCACACGCAACACTCAGGTTCTGGAGCAGGACTGCAGTTCAGTAGTGGACGAGCAACCAGAACTTTCCGCCAGAGTGTACAGCTGGTGAACGCGAAGAAGAAGGTTAATAAACCAGAAACTTTCAGACTAAACTGTTAAAAATTTGCACAAACCAAAAAGAAAAGAACAGCAAACGTTTTAGGAAACAAGACCACTACTATTCTATGTTGAACAGAGAATTCTAATGATTAAAAAAAGTCATTTAAATTAACTGCACTAAGCCATTTAACTGGTATAAAACATTCTCTGTTCCATATATGACCCCACTGAGCACGTCTAAATTCTAGCTAAATTCATGATGACATTTTTTCTGGTGTTTGAACACACAATTTTGAGCTCAATTTATTTACTGCAACATGGCAAAGCTAAAATCTTTCTAAAGAGAAAGTAATGGCTGTAGAGTGACATAATACATCAAATTAAAAAGACATAAATACAGAATACACCTTAACTATTTAAAGATCTGTATAGCAACAATAAAATATTAAATTGCCAGGTTGCTGGACACATGAAGAAGTTTTGTACCTACATTGCTTTTTTTTTCTTAACTGATCAGCAAAATTGCAATTAATTTCTAAGAATTCCTCATGTGGCAACAATGGCAACTAAAAAATATTTTGTCTGTCAACAATATAGACAAACATAAAAGCCATAACTTCATAACCATTACATAGACACATCATATTTTGTATTTCTGCACTATATTAAATGGAAAACAAACTGCAAGAAAAAAATGTATTTATTTTGTTTGACATTATCATCATGTGGCTGTAGATATGGTGCAAAAAAGACAACTAAGAAATACTTTTTAATAAGTCATTAATATAGACTCAAACACAAAATTTAATTGTTTTATCATTAGAGAAAATGGTGTGCAATTCAAAATCAATCCTCTGATAGCCTGCATAGTGAATCACTATGGAAGATTTTGTGTAATGGTGTACCACGGAATGCTGGAGAATGACCAAAAAGGATGCACACAAGCTGTCCACCTTCCACCACACATGTCTATGTAGAATTTATCAAAATTTTCTGGCCAGATACAATCTTAAACACTAAACTACTTCAAGCCACAAACCAAAAAACTTTAGACAGTATGATTACCAAGAGAAGATGGAAATGGCTTGGCCATGTTATGAGAATGACTTCTGATATACCTGCCAAAACAGCTCTCACATGGACACCAGAGGGAAAGAGAAAACAGGGGCGCCCAAAAACAACATGGAGACGAACGATGGAAAGTGACCTGAGTGCGGCATCTTTGACATGAAAAACTGCACTGAAGATTGCACAGGACAGGAAAGCCCTCTCCGAAGCCTCATGTGCCACTAGGCATAACGAGAACTGATGACTGATGTACCACAGAAAATAGTAAATTTGATCAAAGCCATTTACTTAAGAGTTTCAATGCAAGGTAGTATGTGATAATCATACCAACAAAAAGTTTCTTTGTCAACACAGGATGCATACTATCCCCCTTTTTGTTCAATTCCACTATTGACTGACTCATGAAGGGAAGTTACATAAGATAGAAAATGCTGCAATCAGGAAAAGAGTGAAAGACTTTCAACAACAGCTCTTAAGATAGGACTCAAAATAAACCAGAGTAACACTAAAATAATGAGAAATATTAAAAAACAGAAAATCCAATTATCTTGAATGATGAAGAAACAAAGGAAGTTGAAGAATGTATATACCTCAAAAGTGAAGTTACTCCAGATGGAGATTCTGAAAAGAACGTAACATCAAGAATAAACAAAGCAAATCAAGCATTTGCCATGCTTAACAATAACTTAAGACTTTTCAAAATAAATGTTTAGGGAGAATTCTACAAATATAATGGCCAAACAAGATCACAAATGAAGAAATGAGGAGGAAAACGGAATGTGCATCACTGGCAAATGTTATCAAAGTAAGACAATAGAGATGGCTTGGACTGTTGGCGGTGAGGCATAGTCACAGAAACAGGTCCGCAAGTAACATATCGCTGAGACCCTGTTTGAGCATTTGTTTTGTTTTTCCGAGCCGATCCTAGATTTGCAATGATTTATTCGTCGGGAGAAAGTTCGACAATGAACAATGAAAAGTGGAAAGTGTCAACGGTAGCTATTATTATCGTCTGCAGTGTTGCGTCAGAAACAGTAAGAAACAGGTCCGCAAGTAACATATCGCTGAGACACTGAGAGCATCTGTTTCGTTATACAGAGCCGGCATATTTTTAATATTTAATTGGACTGTGCCCGGAACGGATATTCCAGGCTGCAATACTGTGGGGGTAGAAGTTAGGAGGACAGCTGAACTAACAAAGTTTACAAAGAAGCTTAGACACAAACACTGACTTAACAATAGACTACTGCACAAATTATTGTCTATTATTTCAGAATTGATTTTTATTCATTGATGTCATTACTTGCCCTGGTGAAACGTTTTAAACAGGGAGTTAGTTAGTTACTCCAGTTACTAACTTAGTAAATGAAGACAGACGTAGGATTTATTTATTACATAATTTGCTTAATTTTAATCAACCAGTTGTTACTGTTGCATGCATGTATTACTAATCTACTGATAAATAAATTCAATTAAATAATAATAATGATAATTATGTAATAATAAAAAATCCTACCTAGTAAAATCATGCGTTGCCCTTATATTTAAATTTCCAGTGGTGGTGGCTAGCAAGAGGCCTTCATCTATGTCAATTAACTCCGCATTTTCCACTGCAGTTGAAAACACTTTATTTACATCTTTCTGTAAGACCTTATCAACCACTATCTGCGTATCTGCCATCGTAGAAAGCAAGCAAAACTGCTGAAAAGTATGAGCGACTGTAATAAAGATACTATCATGAAATGAGTAGATACCATGCGTCCGAATCTGAAACGGAAATGAAGTTGAAAAACAAAGAGCACAACATCCGGCGCCGTTCATAACGCCATAAACTATTTTCGCTAAAAAATAAAACTAAAAAAAAAAAAATGATTATTTGTAAGTTTTATCTTTACAATTGTTATTTCCGGATTGTAGCATGCTTATTTTGATAAATATTTAGCCGTACACCTACACGGGGCATCCTGGGCAGACAAAAGGAAGACACCCCCCCCCACCCCAAAAAAGACTAATGGTGTGTTGGCATGGTTTCCCCCTTTTCCCTAACTAATTGTACGCCGCATTTTATCGTCACGGGTTAGTTGGTTGGTTGTTTAGAAAAAAAAATGACAAGCTTTGTCCTTTTTTAACCGCCTGATAGCCTGTTTTTTTCAAGGACGGGTTATTTGCTGTCTGAGTTTCAGTTTGTTTCTTTTGTGGCGATGATTTTTGCCTGAGTTTCGTTTCATTTGCTTCATCATGCCAGCGGCATAGGCTTTGCGGGCGGCTTGCAGTTTTTGGGATTGGAAATGGCAGTCCTGAAAAGGACAGACATATGGGTCTGGGGCGGCCTGGAGCGGGAATGGGCGGAATCTCGTCGCGGCTGACTTCTGCTATAGGTCTGGCGATGGTTTCGTGTGCTGTCAATGAAGATGGCCGCGTATTCGTTGGTTTCTCTTTAGTGGCTTTTAGAATTGGCGATAGCTTTATCTGTTAGGCGTGCCTTGATTCCTTTGTTTGTATCTGGATCCGCGCATTTGCTTAAGTGCTGCATTAAGTTCATTGTAAAATCTGTCGATTTTTTGCCCCCTCCCTGCTTCTTCGGGCGTTATAATTTTCTTCTTGAACTGCGTAAAGTCGTAGGTGATCGCATAGCGTCTCAGTTAACAGTTTCTGTCATCAACAAATAGTTTTTGACAAAGAAGCGTCGCGGGGAGGCTAAATGGGACTTAACTGAAATCGGATGTCTTTGGGCAAAAGGTGAAGATATCGCAGCCTAGTTGTAAACCACAACACAACGTGGCAATCACCCTTTTAAGGGAAGAAGAACAATTATCACCCGCGTGAAGGGTGAAATACTTACAACTTTACTACCGAAGACTGAAGAGTTTAGGTGAGATATCGAAGCCTAGCTATAAACCACAACACAACATGGCAATCACCCTTTTAAGGGAAGAAGAACAATTATCATACAGCGGGGAATCGAACACGGTCACCCGCGTGAAAGGTGAAATACTTACAACTTTACTACCGAAGACTGAAGAGTTTAGGTGAGATATCGCAGCCTAGCTATAAATCACAACACAGCGTGCCAACAGCCCTCTCGAGGGCGAAAGAAGATTACCCGTGACATGACCATTGAGCATCACGTCGCCGCTATCGCAGGCTAGCAGTAAACCCCAAAACCGAAAAAATGTGTAGATATCGCAGCCTAGCCATAAACCACAACACAACGTGCCAGCCGCCAAGTTAAGGGCTAAAAAAAATAATATCACCTAGCGAGTAATCGAACGGGGGTCACCCGCATGATAGGCAGCATATGTACATATACGCTACCAAAGACTCTCTGTGTATAGTGGAAATGAAATTATATAGTAATGCAAAGTTCAAAAAAGAGCTCAGCAGTCAAAAATGGCCAAACAACAAAAAACAAATCCGGGCCGGCAACGAAACAAATAATGATTTGACCGTTTTTGGAGCTATGTCGTTCGTGGTTTGTGCGATTTTCTGACCAAAAAACACGCTTTGAGTCAAAGGCAACGTTGTGTGACAATTTGAAAGCAATAGGTTCAGCAGTTTCCGAGTCTTTAGTTAACAAACTCGGAAAATTAACATTTTTATACATATAGATCATTGAATTATGTTACTAATGACGCATTAAACATTCTCAAGAGATCTCCTTTTATGGCCGTCTGCTTCGTTTCTGTCCGTGGTGTCCAATCTCGTTATTTTACATTATTTTCTTTCCAATCATGTGGGAATATTTAACCCCTTCGGGCCCGTGTGAAGTGTCTTTCGCTCTTTTCAGAACACGTTTTACATCTTCCACCTGTATAATGTCTTCATAATGTTTGTTCTTTAAGATGGCTGCAGATCTTCTATATCTCCATCATTATGGTCTGTCTGTGAAATGAACCTCTTCAGAAAAGCCTCCCTCTTCTCTTTGTCTGTAGTAATAGCATACTGTCATCTTAACTAATTGCTCCTACTAAGCTACTACCCTCTCTGTCTGGCACTGCGACAGTTCCAAAAACACACTCTGACATGACTGAATCCCAGCCGTTCTGTTTTTCGCCTAAATCTCCTGGCTCCTAACCTTCTATTTCTCTGCTTTCTTATCTCACCATTTCCTCGTTTTCTGCTCTTCACTTTCTCTTAGCTGCTTGATGAAGATGACGTCAAGCGCAGAGCACGTGCTCCGTAGCTCCGGCGACAATTCTTATTAAATGAAAAGGATAAATATAAATTTTATGAAAGGTGCAGGAGGGTAAATTTACTAGATTTCACAGATTACCGCAGTCACAATTCGGTGTTCTAAGCCCTTCAGAAATTAATGTGCAGCATGCTTTAATCTAAACGTTTATTTGTGTTTTTTATTTTATGACAATTTTAGTATTATTGTTATTATTTCCGTTTCCTTGTTTATGTTTTGATTTGCAACACATTTTCATATTCCTATATTTCATATTCTATCATAGTCATTCATGTGACTCCACAAGGAAGCTAATATCTCAGAATCGACTTATTTTTGTGGTGCACATTGATAAAGACTTTCGTGGAAATGTTCGGTTGTTTCTCACTCTTTTCAAATTCCTAGTCAAAGGTTTTAAGTTCAGTGAATTCGTTTCGAGGAGGATATTTTTGGAGACAGTTGTGGGTGTTTATACATGTTTGCAATGTATCTTATTATTTGTGTGCCCCCCCCCCCCGGGCTACATTGGGGGGGGGGAGTGAGGAGAAATAGACCCATTATCCCGCTAACAAGCATGACGTAAAATATGACTAATTAGTTTGTTTTTTCTTCTTCCAAGTCGGAGTGCATCTGCCTTTGAGGCAAGGAACCAGGAGTCAGCATACAAATAAGTCAGAACTGTAAACAGAATTTGCATAAAGAACTCAGGTTCTTGAACAAGACCAAAGTTCAGAAGCGGGTTCTGAAAATCAAAAGTTCAGTTTTAGACTCTGCCCTTCGGTTTTGTAAGTGCTCATGTATGACATCCCCGCACGCTGTTGCTACGGAGCTTTCTTTGGTGCTTCTGGTGAATAAGACTATTAGTAGAAGAACAACTTTCAAAAGTACAGATGGGTTTCAGACGTAACAGAAGCTGCACAGACGCGGTACTTATATTAAAGACAGTTGAAAGAGCTAGAGTATGATAAGACATGCAAAGTGGAACTTATAGACCAGGAAAAAAACAATTGACAGAGTGGATAGAAATATGTTGTAGAATTGCTTAAGAAGATAAGGAATCAGCAAACACTTAATTGAAGCGTGTATGAGCTAATATACATCAAGTAAAAGTTGCATACCAACAAAAGCAGGTACATCGCAAGCCTTTGAAGTAAATTCAGGAGTAAGACAGGGATGTGTGCTATCTCCCCTGCTTTTTTTATAACATCCATCGACTATATGAATATGCAAAGAAGCACAGAGCGAAGAAAATGATGATGTCTCAGAATTATTTGCAGATGACTAAGTATTAATAGCCGATAGAAACAGAAAAAGAAGTTCACAGAACCACATAAACCAAGTCAATATCAGCGTGAGAAATACAATATGAGGATAATCAATGATAAGACAGGGGCAATGGTCATATGCAGATAAGAAGAATCCATGTAAATTAAAGTAAATAACACAGAAAAAAAAATTAGCGAATTAAAATATCTAGGGTAGATTTCCACCTCAGATGGAAGAATGGATAGAGAAATCAATATACGATCTGCGAACTCAGACCGGCCACCAGATCACAGTACTTTTGGAGCTTTACATGTGATTTCCTTCCATCCGCTACTCGTTCGGCACGGCCAGCTCTGTCATGATGAGCTGGCGTTTCTCCCCAGAGTGCAGGACCATGTCTGCTCTCAGGCCGGTCTTTCTATTAATTCTGGGTACTTTCCGAAACCAGGCAGGTCGAGGCCAGTAATCAGTCCCTCGTACAGTCAAGTATTGATGGAGCGTATGCGACCTTGTTGACTTTACCTTTTAAGTTCTGCCCACACTTGAGAAAGCGCACGGGGGAAGAGGGCGGTAGGACTGGCCCTCGCGTTGGCCCTCATCCTGGTTTGATCCATAGTGCCCGCTAACTATCAGGACTTTATTGTGGCGCCATGTAAATCGTCCCTGGACTAGGGCTTTTCGGGGACAATTCGTGCTCGAGTGTCTATTTAGCTCTGCACAGAGAACATGTCGGGCCGGTGGTCGCGCACTGCTTGACCATGTTGGGGCCAGAGGATAACAAATCCTAAGCGGATCTTATGACAAAGCTCAGCCGCAGCGGGGCCATTCGCCAGATCTCACTCCATAAGAGCATTCATCCTTGTTTACCGTCGAGGTAAAAACAGGCAGGAAATTACAACCACACTACAACACGAACTAGACAGACTTAGTGAGTGGTGCCAGGAATCAAGAGCTCATGTGAACCCGTCCAAAGCCTCCTTAACATGGTTCTCTCTGAATACCCACATCGTGAGTACACCAACGCCAGTCGTAAGCATCTGTGGTGTGGACATCGAGAGAACCTGGGCATGACATTTGACAGATGCTTGTCATACAAATGCCACGTAGACAACGTCATACTTAGAGCCAGGAAAGGTTTGACAGCACTCAAGGTGCTAGCAGCAGCTGATATTGAACAACGTCTACTTTTCCTTCTCTATCAAGGGCTTGTGCTTAGCGTCATTGACTATGGTCTCGGCCTCCTAACTGTCAGCAAAACCCAGCTAGAAAGACTGGACCGAGTACAGAATGAGGCCATGAGACTCATACTCGGCTGCACAAAAGACACCTCCTGCAACGCCATGCGTTATATCCTGGGTCTGCCGACTATGACAAGCAGATACAAAGTGGCACAGGTCAAGGCTTACATGAGGGTATCGGCAGATGTTAACCACCCATTACACAAAGCTATTCACGACACAAAAGGAACGCGTCTCAAAAGGGGCCGCTCTTGGATGGCAAAGGCTGAGGACTTAATCCAGCAGGTATGTGACCTAGACGTGATCAGCCACGGAAAAGAATGGACGAATACACCAGTAGACATGCATGGCATCTCTAAGGTTGTCATCACACTCGGAAGGTACTGCAGGGATCAAATTCCTGCGGCGGTAGACACAGAAGTAAGGGAACTGATAGATCAGCATTCAGACCCAGAAGATACCATCATCTACACAGATGGATCTGTGAAGCGCGGATCAAAGTCAGCATGGGCATACACAGCGCAAAGAAAGGGGGAAAACAATACATGAGGACAGCGGCGCTTACCAGACAACCACGTCAAGCATGACAATGGAAATAGCCGCTGCTTCTAGAGCTTTAGCATGGGTATCCGAGCAAACCGCCACACAGGTAGTAATTGTCTCAGACTCAATGAATATGCTTCAGAAGATAGCAACAGGCAGTATGCGCTCTGAATGGATAGAAAGCATCAGGAAATCGCACTTAACCTCCGTAACCTGGATCTACACACCGGGTCATGCGGGCGTGAAGGGAAATGAGCGAGCAGACCAACTGGCAAGCACTGCACTAATGATTGCAGGAAAAAGTATGGACAGAGCAGACATAGTCAACGCTGTACGAACCGGGCTAGTGGAGAATGAGGAATCCCTGACACTAACACGATTGCGTGACATGGGAGTTAAGCATGGTGATGCACGTCTTTGCCGTCTTCGAGGCCGAGAAAGGAGACAATATAACCAGCTTCTCATGGGACAATTAGTAGAAGTACTTTAGAGTGGCTGCTGCTTCGGAGAACTGAGCACGCATGGGTATGCCCAATGTGCAATGACATTAATTGTGATAACAGAACATAAAATAACATCTTAGTAGGGAGTCGGCAGTACGAAACCCAAGTTCAAGGTGTCTCCTTCGTGCCAAAGAACTGCATGGCTGTTGGGTGAACAGTCGTTAACGAGGGCAGGCAGGTTGTTGTAGGGGCGACGCCTGCTGGTGGATGTAATGTCCTAAGTCCCTTCCCCAGCTAATAATGAGGGTACTGCTGGGGTGACCGTTTATTAACCCTCATATAATTCTTCCAGTCAAAATGGACGCTAGGTACGGCCACCTTTTTTTTTTTTTTTTTTTTTAAGCCGTGGCAAATATTTTTCCAGACGGTGGCCGTTGCATTTTTGCTCCATTTGTAGACTGGAAGGATGTAGTTTCGTCGCCCAGCTTCTGAGTTGAGTGCATGGCGTGACACTGTGAGCTGCGTTTGTTTTTCGTTGGCACAGGAGCGGAGCATGTGTGGGGTGACCCGTTTGCTATGAAGCTGAAACTAGGATTACCAGATTACCAGATTACCAGATTCGTGGCAAGGCGCTGTCGAGGCTGATCCACTTGTCTTGCTGCTACTAACTATTGGGCTGTTTTTTTGGACCAGAATCTCGTTGTCGGTGTCCCTTATCTACTGTATTACCATATCTGTGGGTTCTCTGGCCGAGACTTTGGACCACCAAGTGACTTGTCCATGCCCTAGGCCGCGTCAGTCGGTTTGTGTGTAACCCATGACTTACTTCAATTTTAGTTCTTCCTGAGCAGATTCTATCGCAGCTATGATCTTCCATTTCGTACCTATCTTCAGAGCGGGCTGGACAGCGGCCACTGTGGGGTCTATATATATATATATATATATATATATATATATATATATATATATATATATATATACACACACACACATATTGGTGATACAATACCGTAATGCAGTATGTGTAAAAAAATATATATACACACACACATATTGGTGATACAATACCGTAATGCAGTATGTGTAAAAAAAGATATTAAATATACGAGGTAATAATATTATTTTAAGTACACTCTGTAAATTTTTTTTTTATTCATATTGACACATTTGTTTTTAGTGTTGATGTTTGCGTAATTGATATATTAATCCAATCCAGTATTAGGTGAAACAGCTTTCACTTCCTGGTCTCCTGTCTGGCTCAGCAGCAGAAACCGACGTCTGTCGCTAGACAAGAACAGGTGTTTGTTTTTATTCGTGTCGCCTGGAATATGGCAGTGAGGGTGTTCCCACCAGTGTCAGAGTTGTAAGAATATTTTACGCACAAGATGTTCAAAAAGGAAAACTTACGGAAAAATTTTCTGCGAGTGAAGCAGAATATCGACCAGAATCTGGGAAGGTAGGATTTGATTTTTAGTTAGTAAAGTAAAGTAAAAGTTAAAGAAGAATGTGGACATTACCTGATTGATTACCCAGAGTAGGCGTAACTGGTAGCCACAATCTACGTTGCAGTAGTTACACGGTTACTGAAAAAAAAAACACAGGAAGATTTCGCCAAACTAAATTATAATTATAGAGACGTTGTTATCATTTATGGATAGCTGCATACAATCATACAATGATACATATACTTCTACACACAGCACAGGCATGTCTGATGCAGTCGTAATAGTATTAGTACTAGTACTAGTAGTAGGGCACTGAAACACACACTGCTTAATGGAATAGCATTCATCTTATTCTTGCTATCTTTATATCTGTCTTTCTCTTCTGTCAGAAAGCATAATATGGAGGCCAGTAGCTTCGATGACGGTTATGCAGTCCAAATCTGATTTTGATTAAGGGCTAGAACAGGCTAAATGGTTTCTCTGTCAGCATCATACACTTTACAGTGTTGGAATTCATGCTCAGAATTTTCAGGTGTCATGTTGTCCTGATTTCTGCACACACACACACACACACACACACACACACACTCAAAGCTTGATCATGTGTTGGTGAAGTCTGTTATGTATTGTCCTTATTTTGAAAATGATACAGTGATACTCTGTCCCTCTCTATTGGAACACACCAGAGTAAAAGGAAATAAAAGAGCTGACATTTTAGTGTTGTCTGCAGTAGTTAGAGGAGGAAGAAATATAGACATGGCAGATATATTGAATGTGCTGCATCCTAGAGACATTAAGACAAAGGACTCAGAAACGACCTGTTGGAAATAGGTATTAAACAAGGACAAGAATGCAGAAACCAGTTGTGGTGCAAAGAAAGGAGATATGTCAGTTAACTGATGCTGTGTTTGTTTAACATGGAAACACTTAAATGGCTGTTGCATTGGGGGACAGAGTACAAATGGTTTGGCCCAGTGTGGATATCGATATGGACAAGCAACTAGTAAGAGAGGTGATGTAATAAATCACAACACATTGTTAGATGTCAGTTTTACAAAATGTGAAAATTTACTGCTGTATATAGCTAAGAGAATTGAATCCATTGGTACTTCATTGAAGTCTCAACATCAGTTATGAATGAAGGGACTGCGGGGGGGGGGGGGGGGGGGTAAATTCAATATTTAAAGCTGTAAATACAAGTAACCAAAAACTGATATAAAAATAAAATAGACAAGAGTCTGGATTGCAAATGTATGTGTTGACTTACCCTACTGTCAGACTATACGGATGAAGAAATTCACTGATGTGAACCAAATATTGAGACAGCTTGCTCCACCTCTCAAGTTCCAGTTGGTCTACAAAAACGTGAATCTAGTATTGAATGCCCGATGCACCATTGGTGTGAAAATGGTCCATTACTTTTCCTTGTACACCTTTGCTATTATGTAGCGAAGCAAAACGTTAAAACACACTAGTGTAATTTTCTGCCGCTGATGCCATTTTCAAGCTTGTTCATAATTAAAAGGTGTTTAAAAGTGAGGGGGTTGGTGGCATCAGTGACTGGGGAACCCATTGGCTTGCCTGTCGACAATTTTGTTGCCGGTCAGGACAGTATTTGGGCTGTCTCCTTTGAGCACATCAACACGACAGGAGTCCTTTTCAGGGCTCTTGTAGGTGTGCAGTGTTAAACCATTTTGTATGGCGCACATATTCTAGTCACAATGATAACCTAGTGCTCCTCCTTCGGGGATGCTGGTTGACGTGACAATTTTTTTTTTCTCTGCAAAGCACCTATTTGAGAGGGGGTTGGCTTTACTGGGCTGGGTTTTATCTGATATCGCTGTCTTCCACAGAAATGTTTTTATAAAGAACAAACACTAGCTCCAGCAGTGTGGCCTTCATTTGATCTTCCTCACCTGTGTTCACCCTTAAAATTGCCCCTTTGTTTTAGTTGACAGCTAGACTGCTTATCTGCACCTTTGGGTCTGACACATCTGATTTCACAAACTCATAATTAGTCTCGCCTTTTATGATATGCTTGTTTGGGCCAGTAGGTGTGCCCCTTCCGCCACCCCCACTGGGGCCCTGGAACTCATGCAGGAAGAATGATCTCTGTAACATACTTGATATCCAAAAGACAGTCCAGAATCAGACCCACACCCTTCATAGTACAAGGCCAAAACTGACCACTTCGCCACAGAGACCCATGCTATATATTTGCAAATTGAAGCATTACCCCAAGTTCGCATCTGCTGTTTTCACACATGTGGAAATGTCTCATCACAATGGCATGTCAGCCCCATTGACACACTGTATGTAACAGCTGGTTTCTGAAGTAGCACAGCTCTCCTGACTCTTACCTAGCTATCTGGTACACCTATTAAGCACTGTTCTCCCCTCCTTCCTCACAGGCACACTCACACACAGGTGCCCTCACACACACCTCCCCACTACCTCTCTCCCAGGCTTGACACACAACTGAGCACTATATTTATTATGCATTACAGTAATCCACTTTGCTAATGCAGTCTGTTTCAGAATATCATATTAGGATGGTTCTTCATGTGTGAACATAGCAATTGTAATTCAGTTTCATATTTCGGAGTCCTCTTTTATATTTGTGTTCTGTTTGTCTGTTTGTAACCCTTATGTTGAAAAAATTATTAAATAAAATGGAGATTTTAAATATTTGTTTAATAAAATTTCCTTACTGAAATAGATTTTAACCTGATTTATGCAACTCATTTAGGAGTGAATAATCATCATTATTACATAGGCTTAGATGTGTTTTTCATGTAACAAACTTATTGGTTGTTATATGTTATTTTAATCACATTTGTGGTCAAGAAAAGGATATGCAGAGGCACCGATGGGGTAAATAAAATGACTAGTTAGCTCAGATTGTTGTAAATAAATGGTGGATCATTTTTGGACATCCATTTTAAATTCCCAGAAGTTTAATGCTTCTAAACACTTTCTGTTGCATAAAAATTATTATATTCAGTCATGTAAAAATTTTATTCTTCCAGGCATCTGCCTTCTCTTAATCAGTTTACCATTATTACACATAAATTATACAGCACACCACGTGACTCTTATCTCTGTGGCATCTTTCTTCTCAACTTGTATGTCGATGCCTGAAATACCCAGCAGAACTGAAATTCATATTCATATTTAGGAAATCACTGATGTATTTTAGGTGTTTTTATGGCATTACTTCCCTGTGTGGGCTTCAGGGTCCAATTTTTTTGGGAGGGGGGGGGGGGTGTAGGATAGATCTATTGCCCTTTAACAAGCATGTCGGTTGCGGTTTGTTTGAAAAAAAACAAAAGTTCATGTCACCCTAACCAGCTCCAATAGTGAGCGGCGGTTATTTTGGGACTGCGTTTATTTGTTTGGAGTATCCAATAGTTTTTTCAATTGTGACGAACTGCGTCTAGAAGTATTTCCTTGCGTGTATCTCGATGTTGGCCGTGATTGGGAGTGGAAGTTTACTAGTCCTGAGAAGGACTAGTAAAGTTTGCCGGGGTGGCCTCGAACGGGTGGGAGGGATTGGGTTGGGCGGTTGACATCATGCCTGGCTGGTAGCGAGCTGTGGGGCGTTCTCCGGGCTGGGTGGTTGGCTGGTTCAACTGTCATGGCGGCTGGACTGGAGGGCGTGGTTCTTAAGTTTTTCTTTGGTGTCTGTCAGGTCTTTTTTGATGATGGAGACCTCGGACAGTAGGTTTTTCTGGCTGTCTTTAAGTTTGTTGGCGGCTACGGCATTTGCTTCCTTCATCTTCTTGAGTTCCGTTAGGTTGGACATCAGGTCGATTTTGAAAGTTGCCATTTCTGTGCTTTCCTTCTCTAGTTTCCTCTGGGTCTCAAGTGATGCCTGTAGGATGTTTCTCAGGTCTAACATCTCGTTCCTGTCTTGAGTCCTGAGTGCCTTGAGTTTTGCGTTCTCTTCTTGAAGGGTTCTGATTTCCTGCCTTATAAGTGCAATTTCGTTGTTCGTGGGTGACACAACTGTTGGACTAGGCGCCTGTGATCTTCGCTTCGGCTCTGGGTTGTGAGTGGTGGTGGTCGTCAGAGTTCTCCTGCATTCTTTGAGATACGGGCACCCCATGTATCTCGCACTGTGTGCTCCTGCGCAGTTGGAGCATCTCCGGCTGGCGTTGGGCTTCTTAAAGTCCGGGTCCACTTTCGCCAGAGGGCATTCCTTGAATGGATGTGGGCCGGAACAGTAACGGCACGACGGGCCGCTTCGACATGACGAGGCAGAGTGCCACGCCTTGTTGCATCGCGCGCACTGCAGAATCTCGGTGTTTTGGGTACCTGGTCGCTGCTGCTGTTGCTGCCTGAGTGGGCGGGTGTAGGTGGCTCCCTGCGCCACGACTGGGGCGGCTTCTGGGTAGACGGGTGCCTCGATAGGGCCTACATCTAGGGCTGGCGGCGTCTGGGCAGGTGTCTCCTCCGGGTCGTCGACCGGTTCTGGCAACGTCAGTTCTGGTGCGGCGACAGGTGCTTCCTCCTTTTTGGCTGAGGATGCCCTGGTGTCCCGGCGCTGTACTGGATTCTTCTTACCACGGGCCATGGTTTCGTGTGGCTGAGGCTGGTAAGTCGGGCGGCAATTGATTGCTCGGTCCCTGCAGAGTCTGGCAAGGCTTGTTAGAGTATCCTGAAAAGGACACCCAAGCGTGCTTTTCTCCACAGTTCTCGAGACAATCGTTAAAAAAACTGGCTGATGTGCTCCCGGGCCGCTAATAACCCAAACGCAGACAAAAACCGATAGCGTAGTCGAGCCAAACTCAGCCGAATATCAAGCGAGTCTGACCAGTATCTAGCTATCGATAAACAGGCTACGAATGGGTAGTTAGCAAGCTGACGAGAGACACGTGGCTTTATCGGGCGGTAGAGCGAGCTAGCGAGCGAGAGCTGTGTGCGACTGGGCTGTCGGACTGCGAATGTCTTGACCGATGTGATTGATGCGCACTCGACTGAACAAGCATGTCGTAAAAGGTGACTAATAAGGGTTGACCCATTTTAGGTGGGAGAGGCTTGGAAAAAACTGTATGCACACAAATACAAGGTCCCACAATTAAGTAATGAGACTGATTCCATAAAAATGAAAATAATCAACAGTTGAAGATAAAACCTGTGTCTGATTCAAAGTAAGCCCCTTGCGCATTGATACAAGTGGCACGATCTAACAAACACTGCAACGACCTTTGTAGTTCTTCTATTGTTATTGCCCTTAAAGTCAGTGTTAGGGCCCTTTGGAGGTCATCAATATCGTTAAAGAAGCGTTCCTTTCAATGGTAACATTAATTTTGGGAATAGAAAATAATCACAGGGAGACAAATCTGGGGATTAGGGTGGAAGGCTGAGAGCACACACTTATTTTTGGGCCAGAAATTCTTGTTTGGATGATGTCTCTTGGGTACTTAACCCACTGATGTTTTTGGTCATCAGACAACGAATGTGGTACAAACCCGCAAGCAACTTTTTTCCTGCCAAAATCTTGCACTAAAATATTATGAATGGTCTCTATTAACACCAGGTTCATCTGCCATCATCCTCACAGTAAAACAATAATCTTCTTATATCCATTCTCTGACTTTTGCAATGAGTTTATCATTACGAACAGAAATTTGACGTGCAGGTCTAAGTGCATTAGTAATCATTTCCACGCCACTTTTAAATCTTGAATACCACCTGAAAATTTGTGCACAAGATAAACAATTATCCCCATAAACTTGTTGCATCTTTTCAACTGTTTCAATAACGCTTTTTCTGAGTTTTAAAACACATTTAATGTTAGCTTTTTGCTCCATGATGATTACGTAATAATGCACCTCTGACTAGGTCAACAAAATGGTCTACTTATTGAGTGGCAATTAAAAGTTGCCAGATCATAGATGAATGTTGCCTCTTTAGATTCCATGCTTTGCTTCATAAATGACATTTTTGTCTTGGCCATAATAAAATCATTCTCATTACTTAATTGTCGGACCTTGTAAGTGAGTTTTATAAAATGATATGCACGCAAAACTCAAGTTCTGGAACAAGACCAAAGTCCAAAAAGAGGACAAACAAGCAGAACTTTCCACCGGAGTTTACATCTGGTAAACGTGAAAAAGTAGAAGTTGAAATATACTGCCTTTTATCAGGCCCATAAGGGATGCAAAGAGCAGTAACACTATAAACTACCATGCATGTCTTAAAAGGCAACTAAGAGGAGGGGATGTGAGATTGACTGCCTCATCCTGTAGAAAACTTCACACGCAGAGTCCATCTAATTGCAAACTGGTGTACTTGGTATAAGTTGGTTGAGTGCCTATATTGTGTGTGCATGGGCACAAAACATTCACACACAGTGACCTGGGAGTTGAGCTTTCTGAAGCACGTCCATACTGTCTTTGAGGTCAAGACAGGAGATACTACAACCAACTTCTCCAGGGAACAGTCAGTGGAGTGGCTGTTGCATCAGAGGACTGAGCACCCATGGGAAAGCCTGATGTGCAAAGATGTTGATTGTGATAACATAACACAGTGATATATACGAGACGCTGGCCCTTTTCAAAGGAAATATATTTTTGTAAACTGTTTTAGAGAGCAGTTAAGGGGCACATAGGGGGGGGGGGGCGTCTTTATTTTGATGACGGAGAAGTATTGCATCCATCTTTGACTTAGCTAGACCACATTTGAATCACGTGGATTGTACAAAATACTAAATAGCCCTTGTCCTGCAGTTGCTCGCCTGCAGATCTGTAGATCGTGGGTTCAGATTTGAATGGGGCTAACTTTTTTCATAAATGATCTTGGCTCCCAGGTTGACCTAGCCAGGTAAGTGCAGGCAACTAAGAGGAGATGTTATAAGATTGACTGCCTCATCCTGTAGAAAACTTCACATACAGAGTCCATCTAATTGCAAACTGGTATACTAAAGTCTTGATATAAATTGGTTCATGTTGGGGACATCAACCACCAAATGGCAATTAGTCTATAAAATATAGGTCTAGCACTGTATGCCCAATACGCCTGAAGGCAGGGAAATGGGTCCTTTACTAGCCCAGCAGTCCTGCAGTCTTAGCGGCCCTGAATGCAATAGAATTATAGGCATTATAAAGATCTGGTCATTAATTACATTTTAAAATAGTTACAATGCAGGTGGAGGTTCATACTTTCTCAAGTCAGAAGCAAATGCTATCTTAAGTTACTATCCTGCTTTTTGGTGCCTTTTTCCTCAGCTTATGTGCTTCTGTCTTTCCATGTCATGAGTAAACGCATCCCCGTTTGGGTTCCAATGCCCCATTTTTTTAAGGGTGGGGTTGGCAATGGACCTTTTGCCCCCCTCCGCCTCCATCAGGCATGTCGTAAAGCATGTTGCCCAGCTACTGAGTTGAGTGCACGACACAACACTGTGAGTGGCAGATTTTATTTGGAATGTTTTTTGACTGACCAACGTGTTCATGTGTACAACTGCCGATCTGTTTGTTTTTGCTGCTTCCATCGATGATAGCTGCCTTATGCTTTTAGTGCATGTGTATGCTAGTGGATATGCTGAGACTGCAGTTTGTGTCAGTTTTTCCACAAAGGACAGTGATAAACATTCTGTGTGTTTCTCATTGACACAGAAGCGGAGCAACAATGGGGTGATCCGTTTGCTATTAAGTTGAATTTAAGATTACCAAATTATTGTAAAAGCCAACTAATTAGTTGTGTTTCATTCAAAGTCGGAGTACATCTCCCTCAGAGGCAAGAAACCAACAGTCTGCATACAAATAAGCCAGATCTGTAAAATGTATGGGTACACATAAACTCAGGTTTTGAAACAAGATGAAAGTCCAGAAGTGTATAAACAACCAGATTTTCCACCAGAGTTTACAGCCATTGGACACAAAGAAAAAGATGAGTAAACATTGTCCAGAATTTTTCTCACTGTGTTCCTCAGTCTGACTTATGTAAATACCTGGCATTTATATCATGTTTATTGCTAAATGAACTGAACATGCATGATACATCAAATACAATCACTGTGAGAAAGATGAGTGATTGGAATGTCTGAATCTAAGATGGGCCTATGTGCCCATTTTATCACTCTTTGAAAATAAAGTTCATTTATATAATTATTTTCATTATATTTTACCACATGTTACATTTTGTTCCAGTATTTCTAGTCCCACTGTTTGATATCATTCAGTTTGGCTATGTTATTGGGTGTACATGTTTTTATATTATTATTTGTGTACACTTCAGAGCTGAACAGTCTAAAGTATTGACAGAGGACCAAGAGGAGAATGAGAAAAGAGTGGAAGCAGTCAAACATGCCTTTCAGAACATTACAAAGAAAGCAGCGGCTGTCCTGCAAACTACAGGCACCACTGATTTTGACAAAAAGCTGGTAAGCCATTTTGCACATACAGTATTATGAACTTGTCTAAAGTGGTTGAACAACCAGAACTTTCCGCTGGAGTTTACAGCTGGGCAACACGAAGAAGAAGAAGAAGACATCTCAAGGCATGAAAAATGGTCCTTAAATTACTTATAGTCCATGAGTTATAATGCAGATATGATTATACAGTAAAACCTTGTAAACCTGATTTTCAAAAGATTGAAACATCAAGAGTTCATGTTAAAAAAATGTGTGATAACCGAGGACATGAATTAAAACAAGGGACCAACATTTTGTTCGTGTTAATCCCCTTCAGTGATTGATCTCTTGTTATGTGCCTAATCACTGTCTGCCGTGAACCTGGGAAAGTAATCTCAGGGTCTCTTAGGTTTCCCCAAAACTCAGTTGTCAGGTCTACAGGGTGTGGCAACATTGCTTCACAGCTGCTCCAGGAGAGGACAGTCTTGTAAGACATGTTCTGGAGTCTATTCAGCCGAAGACACTGACAGAGATCTGTTTGTCTCATACCAATTTTATATGAGTGTTTGTTGAGTCTGCAGTGTCCAGTGCATAAGCAAACAATTGTGGCTTGGTCTGTTCAGTTATCCGTGGCTAAGGCGTTGCGAGTCCGACTCAAAAGCCAGCATACCGCGATCGAAACCCACTGCAGGCTGCGTGGATTTTTATCGTGGTATGGGACGTCGCAGGTCGACCCAGCCTAAAATGGGTACCAGGATGGGCTGTCCTGGGAAAGTAAAGACAGCCGGCGTAATGCTAACCACATTACCCACAGAGTGCTGATGGTCTGTAAAAATATGGGACGCTCTGCCCATAAGCCCGATGCGCCGAAAGGCGTGAAAAGGGAACTTTACTTTTTTTTTTTTTACTGTTCAGTTAGATCATTTAGGAAATCTTGTTCATGGTTGAAACCTGTGTCTGTTTTCCAATCTGTTTCTGATTTTTCTCTGTGAGTTTTCACTTCTGAAAAGATTCAGGTGATCAGGTAATCGTAGTTAACTGGTTTCCCCCATAGCTGCTTTGCTCCTGTACCAACAAAAACCATACAGAATGTCCACCACTGTCTCTGGTGGAAAAAGAGACACAGACCGCATGCATTAATCACATAAGGCACCACCAGTTTGGTGGCAACAGGCCACTCATCATTTTCTGAATGTTGAAAGTGATTGATGATTGTGATAGCTGGATAAAAGTGACTTGCACAAGGACTTGGATATAAGTGAGGAAGAGTTGCGCAATTCGTCGACCTCACTCTCTCGCCTGTGTCCATCTTGATCCAATGGCAGGACAATGTCAAGACCATTGGAAATGGACCTAGGTGCAGTGGATGATCAAGGCATCTCAAGTGCCCTGCCTTGCTCGAAGCTTTCCACAGAGCCTGTTGGTAAATGCCTTTTTGTCCTTTGAACCAGTAAGATGTTTCATTCACACAATCCGCCGAGTCTTGACTTCGCATGCAGGGTAGGCATATCCCAATCACCGAGTGGTTTAGAAAAACTTCTGGTTTAAAACCAGGTCGGCTACCCTCTCCTGGTTTAGCCAGCCCATCAAAGCTGTTGCCTGGGGGGTGGCCACTGTCGCATGCTGACAGCTGCTGGGAGCCACAGGAGAGAGCTGAGTGCCAGACCTAGCCAAATAGTGGTGAACTGCCCTAAGAAGGACATGACAGTCACTTTGCCAGAGGTACTACTAGTATCTGACACCGCAGACCCCCTGAATGTACAGTTCACAACACCACGTTGGTCACAACTGAAAAACATTCCCCAAAAATCTGCAGCTCAGGGTGTTGCGCCATGCTCTCAACTCAATAGTTGGGCGACGAAACTGTTTCCTTTCAGTCTACAAATGGAGGAAAATACAACTGACACATATTGCCAGAAGCAAAATTTGCCACAGCTAAAAACAGTGAATGTGCCTATCCTCCATTTTGACCTGAAGAGATTCATTTTAACCAAGTGCTGTTCTTAAGTGAGTTTGCATTAACAAGGTTTCTCTGTATTTTCTTGTTATTAATTGTTTGAAGTGAGATTTTTTTCTGTCTTTTGAGAGCTTTTACTCCTGTGTGGTAGATATGTAATCAATGATCAGAAATACTACTGTATGGGTTCTGAGGTTCCTTTTTGGGAGAAAAAAAAGAATATACCCACTGCACCTCCTAACAAGCATGATATAAAATTGACTAATTAGAGAGTATTTTCTTCAAAGTTGGAGTGCATCAGCCTCAGAGGTGAGGGACTAACAGTCTGCAAGCCAGTAAGCCAGATCAATGAAACAAATGTGCATGCAGAACTGGATAAACAGTTGGTGAACTCTAAGCAAAAGAAGAATGTTAAAAGTTAAAAGTTCTTCTCAGTTCCTCAAGCTATTCTAGAAATTTACATTTGAGCACAATGAAAATTTACACACATTGTATATCTTTGTTTAATAGAAGATATTTTAAGTGTATATTATTGTAATATTTGCAGAAAAAGCTTCCAGAGACAGCACTTAGCAATGCTATACTAGAATCTGCACAGTCTTTGGGAACAGACACTTTGCTTGGGTGAGATAGATAGATATATATAGTGTTTATTCTATAAAGATATAGATTTATTTATTTGTAAAGAATAACCTTTATGAAACACAGAAGGTCTTAGGTTTGAATCTACGGCAGACAGATTTTGAAAGGACAATGACCTTTTCTTAAGGTCAGCTCAGTCTAAAATAAGAAGTAGGAAATCTCCTGAGAAGTAAAGCTGGCTGGCTGAGGTTACATTAACTCCATCACCATCATGTGCTGTTTGGTCTGTAAAGAATAGGAGTAACATAAAATGCAAGATGTGCTGTTTGTGTGAAGAGGAGCGGTTACTTCCTAAAACAGAAGCATTTATTCCTTTAGATGTCAGTAGACGTAACATACATCTCAATCGTTTGTAAGTCAAAGTACATCTGCCAGAGAAACAAGGAAACAGCACCGCAAGCAAGCTTGGCTGACTGCAGTTTTGTAAAACAGATGTACACCAAAACTCTGGAACAAAGCCAGAAATGTACTGCCAGCAAAGACTTTCTCTGGAGTCCACAGCCAGTGAAATCAAACAAACAACACATACATTTTAAATATTCTGATGCAAATTTTGTTCTACTTTGGAAATTTAGTCTGGTATAAACATGATGTACATCAGTAAAGGCAAACCAATATTGGCTTCAGAATTTGAGGATGCATTGCATCCGATGAAGAAAGGAAGAGCACCTGGGCCGGACAACATCACATTGGAAGATATTTAAGCTTTGAGATATTTTAAAATTGAAATAATAACAAAATTGTTAAATGACATATATAATAGTGGGTACATTCCTAATGACCTGTTAAAATCTACATTGGAAGAAATTTAAGCTTTGAGATATTTTAAAATTGAAATAAAAACAAAATTGTTAAATGACATATATAATAGTGGGTACATTCCAAATGACCTGTTAAAATCTACATTGGAAGAAATTTAAGCTTTGAGATATTTTAAAATTGAAATAATAACAAAATTGTTAAATGACATATATAATAGTGGGTACATTCCTAATGACCTGTTAAAATCTACATTGGAAGATATTTAAGCTTTGAGATATTTTAAAATTGAAATAATAACAAAATTGTTAAATGACATATATAATAGTGGGTACATTCCTAATGAAATATTAAAATCTACATTGGAAGATATTTAAGCTTTGAGATATTTTAAAATTGAAATAATAACAAAATTGTTAAATGACATATATAATAGTGGGTACATTCCTAAGGACCTGTTAAAATCTACATTGGAAGAAATTTAAGCTTTGAGATATTTTAAAATTGAAATAATAACAAAATTGTTAAATGACATATATAATAGTGGGTACATTCCTAATGACCAGTTAAAATTTACATTTATTGCTCTGCCAAAAAAACCAGGCACTTTAAAATGTGAAGACTTTTGTACCATAAGTCTTGTGAGTCATGTGACAAAAGTGTTACTGAGAATAATAATGAGAAAAATAAGAAACAAGTTTAAACCAAAAATAGTGAAGAACAGTGGATTTGTAGAAGGAAAAGATACAAACAACGCCATCTATCTCCTCAGGACTCTTTCGGAAAGAGCTTTAGAAGTAAAAACAATCTTTACTTATGCTTCATTGACTATACAAAAGCATTTGTGTGAAATTGGGAACATTTCAGAGCATAAACAGGAGAGTGAGACAAGGATGTGTACTTTCACCTTATTTGTTTTCATATACAGTAAATATGCATTTGTATAATGATATATCATGGATATGTCAGAAATTGTGGGTGGTGGTTATTGCATAAACAACCTGCATTATGCTGATGACACTGTCTTGATAGCGAGAAGTCAAAAAAGAACTACAGGTATTGATACATACAGTGGTGGTAGAAAGTGATAAAATGGGCCTCGGTTTGAATAATGAAATGACGGAAGTATGGTATTTCCAAGTAAAGAATAGTGAGTAAATGTATAATAAAAGTCAAAGGCATTATTTTAGGACAAGTACAGAAATTTAAGTATCTAGGCACAGAGATAATGAATAGAATATTACAGGCCAAAACTGCATTTTACAAAATAAAGAACTTTTGAGAATTGCCGAAGCTTTAACAATAAATAAAAATCAACAACACCCTCCTTTGTAAGCAGACGGAATTTATCGTAAATTTGAAGTTACCCTGATAAATCACATGACTACAGTGAGGCCATGAAACAGAGACAAAGAATCGAAGAAACTATTAGCATTTCAGTTGAATTTATTCAGTTTTGTGCTTAATTTTATGTTGATGTAACTCTGTAGTAATGCACCTGATGAGATACAGTGAAATATGTCTGACATAAATTGTGCAATGTATTGTTTGTATTCCCATTATTTAAAATGAAGAACATTTTATTTAATAAATCCATGTCATTAAAGGTTAGGAAAAGATTCTTGCCTGCTATATAGAGCGAGTTTTAACATAAGGCTGTGAAGCCTGGACAATTAATAAACAAGCCAAAAAAGAGAACAATTTCTTGAGGCCATCAGAGATGTGGTTTTACATAAGAATCCTTAGAATTCATTGGACAGCTAAAAAATAGCAACCCAGACGTTTTGAAAGAAGCGTGCTCGAAGACAACTTATCACAGAAATCAGAAGGAGACAGTCATAATTTTTTTAACCATGTTATGAGAAGAGGGAAAATGGAACATGTTGTGACCACTGGAAAGATCTTTAAAAAGAGAGACAGAGGAAGGCAACGTGAGAAGATTCTTGACAGCCTTTTATCATGGCATAATGGGGTGTCAGCACACAAACTCATACACGCAGTTGCGGATCACAGATTGTGGAGAGGTATGATCACCCACGTGAGTCGGCAAGGCACTTGATGATGATGATGAAAAACATGATGATGCAAATAACTGAAATACAGTCAGATTCATTTGTTTGCTCCACTTTGTTTATTTTTGTCATATATACCTATGAGTTGTATTGCTAATGTTTAGGATATGTAATTCTAAATGAGTGTTTCTCTGTCTATCTCTCTATGTGTCTGTCTCCACCCCTCCCCTTTCCCACCCCCAGCCTTTCTTTCTCTGTCCTGTCTCTCACTCACAAAATCACTTGCACATAAATAGATTATGAGGTAATAGTGATTTTAAAATCTTGTTTGAAATCAGTTAGCACATCCCCAATTTTAAAAATAATACTTTGTATAATTATTAGAATTGCAAGACTTAGTTTGTATTAAGCGAGCCACACATTTATCATCTTTAGCTCTGTTTGCCAACTCACTGGCGACTGTCAGATGAACTTGTCTCGTGAACAAGTTCAGTATGAGGAGACAGTTGAGCAGGAGTTCATCATTCCACTGCAGACAGTTGTTGATGTAAGTTGATGACTTTCATTTTAATCTTTTCCTCGGGATACAACAGGAGCTGTTTAGAACATTTCTTCTCTGGATTTAGTTTGAGCAACATGTGAAATAAAGGAGATGGTATTAAGAGAAAATAGAGAATAAAACAAATAAACCAGTTTCACTTGTTGAAAAGCTCTCTCTCTCTCTCTCTCTCTCTCTCTCTCTCTCTCTCTCTCTCTCTCTCTCTCTCTCTCTCTCTCTCTCTCTCTCTCTCTCTCTCTCTCTCTCTCACTCTCTCTCTCTCTCACTCTCTCTCTCTCTCTCTCTCTCTCTCACTCTCTCACTCTCTCTCTCTCTCACTCTCTCTCTCTCTCTCTCTCACTCTCTCACTCTCTCTCTCACTCTCTCTCTCTCACTCTCTCTCTCTCTCTCTCTCTCTCTCTTACTTTTCTCTGCCATCTGCACATAATAAAATAAGCATTATTATTTTTATATGAAGAAAAGACAGTAATTTGTAAATTTATTTTATTGTCCAGGCTGTCCAAATATATGTTTATCTGTATTCTTTCGCTTTTGTTGCCTGATTTTTCCAATGTGTCATTTTTTTTATATTTCACCTCTACAGTAACTGTTTGGTAGCAGCCATTGAGTAGAGGCTAGTCGCTCACCTGCAGATCAGTTGTCGTGGGTTTGAGACCTGACAGAGCAGACTTTTTTCTTTCAAAAAATGACCTTAGCTTTGAGGTCAACCCAGCCTTAAATGTGTACCTGGTACAGTCCTGGGAAGTAAAGGTGGTTGCATGATGTAAACTGCATCAGTCATTGAGTGCCAGATTGTCTGTAAAATACAGGTCTCGCACTATATGCCCAAAACGCGGGAAGGCGTGAAAAAGGGTCATTTACATTACTTACAGTAACCATGTCTTGTAAATGCCACATGTCTTGTAAATGCCACGTGTCTTGGACTTACTGTTTTATTGAATGTTTATTAATGCCTTTGGTTCAAGTATATCATCGTTTTCTTCTCCCTCTGCTTCTTAGTTCTTTCATTATAGGTGAATCATTTGTTGCTTATTTGCTTATCTGTTACATGTACTTTCAAAGTTAGTGTAAGCTTGTTCATTTATTGAGTTTGTTACTGTATTTCAGGTTGACATACCCAGCATAGTGAAATGGAGAAAAGCATTAACAAAGGCAATACTTGATATGGACTCTGCTAAAAATAGGTTTGTGACTTCTTGTATTTTAAGAAAAAGTCAAATAAATGTAGTCACATACAGATACATGAACACACACATGTATGCATGCACCAGAGAGATAGAGAGAGAGAGAGAGAGAGCAAGCGAATAAACTTTATTTGCAAAGGCGCACACTCAGTCTTAATTTGTCTTTCAAATTCTCATCTTTCAAACATTCAGACCCAGAGAGAGAAATTTTGACATGAGGTGCTCGAGCAAATAAGCCAGATCTGTAAAAACTAACGTGTATGCAAAATTCAAGTTCTTGAACAAGACTCAAATGTACGAAAAGTCAGAACTTTCTGCCAGAGTTGACAGGTCCTGAATGCAAAAAAAAAAAAAAAAAGATACCCTCTAACCTCCATTGCGGAGACAGCACACCAACAAATATGCCGACTGTTTACAGACAATTGTATCATTAATTCATACATGCACTGTGATCAGCTGCAGTAATTTGATGTATGAAATATACCCACAGGTTGAACCAGATAGTGAGACAGTCACAAGTGCCTGGCGCTAACATGACTAGTGCTGCTGCCAAAGCTGATGTTGTCAAGGATGAATATGAGGAAGCCACTCAGAAAGTTGAGAACATTAAGGTTAGTGTACAAGATGTTCAGTTTGTTGTATTCTGTGAAAAGTGTTTCTAATTGCAGTTTGTATAACAGTTTCAACCCAGACAGGTCACACATAAGCTGAAAAACAGAGAAAATGAGGATAACAGTAAAATCATAAGTGTAGTACTTTCATGGGAGTTAAATATACACACCTTGTTAAAAATAAATAGGTTGCCAGACTTTTTCATGTGTTGTGACTAAAATGTAAAAAAAAAAAAAAAGACGAATCACACAAGCATTTACATTAAACACAGTATGTGAACAGCTGCAAACCCCTGTACTCATGATCGTTTTTCTCACAGACTCACTATTAGCCATACCGGCTGTAGAGGCAAAAATTACTGACAGCACACTACATAGTCTGACAAAGGAACTTGAGTTGTCAGAAAAAGGCAGAAACCCACCTGCGACGGATTCCATCTCATTGTCTCAATTACTAGAGCACTTACCTGCCAACTTAGTAATTCTGTGTTCAGATCCCACCCAGTACATCATTTGTGAATGACTTTGCACTTGACAAAGGCAGGCAGAAAAATAATTTCTGGGAAATAATGTCGGCTGCACGATAGTGTCAGCAACACCCATAACTGCTTTTGATTCATAATTCCATTATTACTGTCATCATCATCATTCCATTATACTGTTCATACCTCACATATGGCTCTCAGTCTATTCCTTCATTCCATTCTATGATGTGGAGTATTTTTATATCATTAAAGGAATCTAGCCCAGGAGCCTTCGCCTTTCTCATCAGCATTCATCTTAGGATTTCACTTAGACATCCTTATTTCTCGAGTTCATTTCTTTCCCATTTCAATGATTTTTTGGTGATTGTCTGCTTCTCCTCAAAATGTTCCCTAAATATCACCATGCTCTTGGTCTTTTAATTGTTGATAGCAACAGTTGTCCAGACATTTCTCTTATTTCTTCGCCTTTCTTGAATTAATTCCATTTAATTAACTTCATTATTTGTCTTGTCCAGACATTGTTTTAATCTCTTTCAGTCCCAGAATATCCCTTTATGTTTTTTGAGCCGCATTGTAGGGAAAATAAGAATGGATGCACTGCCTATCTGAAAGCATCTCATTGACTAATTGGGAGCTTCCTTCAAAGTCAGAGTACATCTGCCTGAGAGGCAAGGAATCAAACAGCATGAAAATGAGTCAGATCTGTCAATCGGATATGCGCGCAACACTCAGTTTCTGGAACAGGACTGGAGTCCAGAAGTGGACGAACAGCCAGAACCTTCCGCTGGAGTTTACAGCTGGTGAACGCGAAAAAGAAGAAGTCCCAGAATATTTTGCTACAAATTATATAAAAAATCATTCATCTTTACAGTTATTCTAACCATATTTGTTACTTTTGTTAAATGTTCTACAGGACAACTTATCCATAGAACTGTGCAATTTTGCTTCCAAAGAAAGTGAGCAGAGCAGCAGACTGTTGATTGTGAGTTTACATACATAATGTGCTAACTGTAGATGCTTCGTTGTGAGGCTTCCGAAGTTTCACCAGGGATTCATTGCTCATTTAGTTATCATTGATGAAGTTGCATTGTTTGTACTGCAAACATAGCATAAACTGGCCTTTCATTTATATAGCTAATAACTCAGTTGACTGATGTTGGTAGTAAGTTCTTTTTGTGTGAAGCAGATGTTATTATTGAAAAATGATGTGCACATTTTGTTCATTTGTAATCTTGTCCTCTTATGGGTAGGTGGCTGGCTGCATGCTTTTTTGTATGCAGACTGTTGGTTCCTTGCACTCTAACTTTGAAGGCAACATTCCTAATTAGTCGCCTTGTATAACATGCTTGTAAGGAGGCAGTGAGTTTGTTCTTCCCCCCCCCCCCACCCCCCCCCCCTCTCTCTCCGAGAAGGACTGGTGGGCTAGAACACACCCGGAAAAATAGAGACAGCAAAGCCTCTTGTGTCCCTTAGCTGGCAGGTCTGTGAAGTCTTCTAATTGCCATCTTTCATCTCCCAATGGAACACTGACCTTCAACCAACTCACACCAAACTCTTTGTTTATGGTTCATTGGATTTTGCAGCTAATGTTTTCTTCTTTGCAAGGTAAACAGTCTCAAGCCAACCATTCTCAGTCATCGCTTAATGACATGCATGATAGATCACAATGGTCCCCCCCCCCCTTTCTATTTTGGGGCCCAGTAACACAGGATGCATTTGTCCAGTGTAAATAGGTCATAGTATTTCATCAGTAATCAGCTCAGCAAAACAGTACAGTGTAAATTCGTTAATAATGAATTGTCTGCAAGTATGTCTCACAGAGGCAGAGCAGAGAAACCCTGTTTTGACCTATGAAGACAAATAGTACAGCAGATGTCATTAAGTTTAGATTGATTGTAGTTTTCTTTACAATAGTTCAGACCATAAGTCTAAATTCAGATTGAAATGCAAGACAAATTTGTGAAAGCCAAAATAAATCTAAAAGTATAAACCTTAGAATATTTAACTTTAATGTCAAATCAGTGCCATGTGACCCATACAATTTGAGAATGGCTGAAATAGTCACTGATAAGAAGAAGAAAATGCAGAGCTTAAGTCTGTCAGTATTATAACCAAATCATCCTTTCACTGAACACAATAGTTTTGGAGTCGAAGATGATGAAAATGGAAAGGACATGGAGGGGGCGGCACGATATAGCATTAAATAAGATGCTGTTGCTTCACTTGGTTGAGGGCCTATGCTCCAAGGGGGAATACAGAGCAGGTGATGATTAAGGAGTAATCAACATCTAGTTTATTTCATTGTCAAAGAATAGAATGGAATGCTGAAATATAAACTAAAATGTGAAACTCATATTGGTTGTAAAATGTAAGAGTAATCATGTGGCATTTACTGCTGCTGTTCCCCGTGTGGGTTCCGGGGACCTATTATAGGGAAAACAAGAATAGACCCACTGACTACTCAAAAGCATGTCGTAAGAGTCGACTAATTGGGAGCTTCCTTCAAAGTGGGAGTGCATCTGCCTGAGAGGCAAGGAACCAGCAGTCTGCATACAGTTGAGATCAGATTTGTAAAACGGATGCACACGCAACACTCAGGTTCTGAAACAGGACTGCAGCTTAGAAGTGGATGAACAACCAGAACTTTCCACCAGAGTTTACAGTTGGTGAATGCGAATAAGAAGAAGTAGAAAAAGAAGACTGCTGTTGTTTTGTGAGGTGTAATGCATTTATATACACTAGGTTTCAGCAGAAAATATGGCAGTTATCCGTTACTCATTTTATGAGGATGAATCAATCCAAGAATTGCACTGACCTGAATAAATTTCATTTCAGCCAACCGAGGTGTCCTTATCTGGTTCCCATACCACACTGTAAACAGTGCACTACTTTTCCACAACTCTTGCATGTAATAAAAAGAACATATTTGGGGTACAGCAAACAAACAGATCATAGTGATCACTGAGTAGGTTCTCCATGTGGGCTCCAGGGGCACCATTGCAGAGAAAAAGAACAGACCTAGTGCCCCCCCCCCCCCCTCCTCTCCTCCACCAAGCATGCTGTAAGAGTAGACTAATTAGGGATGTTTTCTTTGAAATCGGAGTGCATTTGCATGAGAGGCGAGGAACTAACAATCTGCGTACAGATTAGCCAGATATGTCAGATAGGATGTTCATGCAAAAACCTTATGTTCTGGAGCAAGACCATAGCCCAGAAGCGGATGAACAACCAGAACTTTTAACTGGAGCTTACATTCAACGAATGTGAAGAAGTAGTTCGCAGAGTAGGTAACAGTTTCTTGATGCTGGGAAGCAAATATGTTAGTCAGACACAATAAATAATAAAATTAAATTTAACATTATATGTATACACGCACTCACACGCACATATATATGTATATACACACCCACACACATACATACACACACATACATACATACATACATACGCAGGCAGGCAGACAGATAAACTGTATTCTTTGGGTAAGAAAAGAGGTTTTGGAGAACATTGTGATGACTGAAAAGATCAGCAGGAGATGAGGCAGGAGTTGATCACAAGAGATGCTGATGGTCTAACATTGTGGTTTGGAGGAAAATTATCAATAGAATTAATCCAGAACACAGAGGACCACGAACTGGGGAGAGTCATGTGAGCCTAGGCCATGTGGCAAGACTTAAAATAAGGATGATACTAAAGGGGTATGTGCATGTGCTTTATATATAATTAAATAAATAAAAATCTACTCTACTTTTGGCTTCTAGCTTCTTGAGGCTCAAGCCAGCTATCACAGAAGAGCACTGGAAATAATAGAAGAATGCATACCCCACGTTGCATTCGCAATAAGTAAGTCCTGACTTTCCTGTTGTGTGTCTGAAATTTTTGAGTTATAGGTTGTTAGGGCAGTGCATGTAATCCCACAGCAGACATAGTTATAGCTGTTTAATAAAAAAACAGAACAAAAAAGGTATTTTTCCAGGCTTTAAGGTATACTTGTTAAATGGTATTGACCTTATTTGTTGTTTTAAATCATTACAGCGTATTCTTGACTTAAACCAAGTTTCATTTCACCTAACAGATCATAATTCAAACTGAGAGAATACAAAGATAATCAGACTGTTCAATCTTAAATATTAAAAAAAATTAACATTTATAGGTTAAAAAAATAGTTTTATTAACTCTACCAGACCTGAGGTGCTGAACCTAACTGCCCCCTATACCTGAGCTCCTGGGCATCAACACGAAAAAAACCAACATGGTATACAAAAATATTAGTTGCATGCAAACAAGTGGTTAGAATAAGTTGAAACTTGAAGACATTGTAGAAAATAGGTTTAACTTTCATCTAGCGCCAATATTCCACCTTTGTGTGCAATTCCACCCAGAAAGATCGGCATTGTTTCACAAAGTGAGCACCGGATGTTGCTGTTTGATGGACACACCCCCTTCTCTTACTATCAGTCTAGTTTTAAATCTATAATTTTCAAGACTCTCCTCATCACTCTGACTGTATCACTGCAACTAGGAACGTATTCTTCACAAAATGCTGACACCTCAAGAGTCTAAATCAACCAAAGTATCGATCACCTGTTGGACTGTGAAAAGCCTAGACCTACTTCACTTTCCTGTCGAAGTACCTGGTTCATCAGCCGCTCATTTATTGTGCTTTTTCTGAATTTTTACCTGTCAATCCACACAAAGAAAATCCAGACACATGTGGGCAGCAATTCACAATGACTAACCACGAGGTCTGATTATGATTGGCTAGTTATTTTTAGTTTGTGACAAATTGTTTTCTCATAGTACGCAAATTCCCGACATTGAGGGACAGCGGTTTAGCGGAAGATTAGGAAATTCCCATAAAAGCGTTAGTGTGTAAAAGTGGTCTGGTAGAGTTAAGTCATGACTGTTGCAAATAAAACAAAAAGATAATAATATCTGTATTAACTCTTCAATTCATTTATTCAGTGTTTTGATAATTTCAGAAAACTCTTCAGCCAAGCCATGTTATGGAATGCCTCTAGAAGAACACCTTCGTCTGATGTGCCGTGACATAGCCTTGGTATTAGAAGCTTGTATATTAACTCTTTTAGAAACGGGCATTGAAGAAGAGGTTCGTTTTCTTTGTGATGTTTCCACATCTGTTTTTATTTATGTTTTTACACTGTAGGCATAAGAAAGGCAGTCCCATTGCAGATATTGAATGTTGAATTAAGAATCGACATCACAGCACTCGGGACACTCTCATAAGTGCTCAGTCCCCATCTTCAGCAGCAAGCAAAGAGTTCCAATTCCGATGGTACCAGTAACCGTCTGATTGCACCTTAGACCGTAATGATCTATCAGCACCTCCGTACTGTACATTGCAGATATTGTCATTGTGGTGTGAAGTGTTATTCCTTGTTATGTACATTTTTGACCAGCATTCTTCAACCTTCTTGCAACCACAGACTATGAAAATATGACAGATATTTTCAGGGTCAGCTGATAGCAAAAAGGAAAGAAAAAAAGCGGGCATCTCCATGATGAAGTGGTCAAGCCATTTGCCTCATACTTGGGAAGGCATGTGCTTGATTCACGGCTGTATCGTCCAGTTCATGAGTGCAGTCTTTTATGGAAATTGTTGGGGATCATTGCTGGAGCTATCGAGCTCATGCTTTGTGTGACACTCTCAACAGGTGGCTAGCTATTCTGCAAATAGGGACTGTGATATATGGGATAAAACCCAGTGTAGTGAAGTCGATTCTTTCACCTTTAACATTTAGCTTAACAGTACAAATCAGATATTGAAGACAAAAAAATAAAACAATACATTATTGTTTACTTTCATTTCAGGGTTTGTTTAGACTTGCTGGATCTTCAGTAAAGTTGAAAAAGCTGAAAGTAAGTGACTTATTACACTTGATCAGATTGGATGGTTTATGCCAATTTATATTAAACATTCTGTACTGCAAAGTTATTTCTAAAAATGACTTTTGCAGCAGAATTATTTTACAGTTTGAGCTTAGACTATTATGCCCCTATTGTCTTTTTGTTCTGTAGATTGTTTCACAACTATGGAGAAATTTAGTTTGTAAAAATATTTATCTCTAATTATTAATTTCTTTCAGGCTTGTTTTGATGCACATTCTGTTGATATGGAAGAATTCAGTACTGATCCACACACTGTTGCTGGTAAGATAAATGATTTTGTTGTAACATTTTCCTTATTTCTTCTTCTCCTTCTTCGTCTCAGTCTCTCCTTGAGTGTGTGCCCATACCATCTTATGCTAAGCTGTTATTTTAATTTTTTTTTGGTTATCTCTTTTTCATAGTTTTTATATAAATATTCTAGTGTTAGTAAGATGACATTACCTTGTGTGTCCTTGTAACATTTTCTGTTTCATAAAGGTTGTGAATGTTGCAACCAAGGTATTTGTATGATTCCTTGTCCGTAATTTAAATCCCCCCCCCCCCATTAATACCTTGTTTTGTATTTTCATGGTCTTGCTCTTGTGAATTTTTCGAGACTAATAATTTATTTAATGTTTTTAAAAGACCTCTGTTTTTGTTTTCTTGAAATACACCCTATTTTTTTGTACATCTGCATCTTCAGAGACTGTTTGACTTTCTTCTTCTTCTTTTGTTCGCCTTCCATGGCGTGTGTGCGTGGCATCCTGATTGCTGTGGTGCGCCTCTTGGCTGGTTGCCTCCGACTTCAGCACTTTGTTTTGCTAGGGTAGACTGTGATCATACTCGAGGAGAGTAGGCTCATCCATTCGTCTTTTGCCTTTACCTTGTTTGTTGTCCCATCCAGTTTCCCGCTGTGGATGGAGACCCCAACCTTCAAATGGATTGCTGGGAAGAACAGGGTCCACCACGTGAATGTGAGGTAGGCTTGAACAAGAGAGGCTAATAGACATTAAGAGTCTTGTATTTTGCATCATTGCTCCATTTGGACCCCTTTGACTTTCTTATTTCCTGTAAGGGTGCAACTGAAAAAAAAAATGAATCAGTAGAAAAATTATTTGCTGCTTCTCAACAGATACAAAATAAAATCAGTTGTTTTCCTAACGTATGTAAACTGCGGAGATACTATTCTTTCCAATATACTGTATGCTGTGTCTTCACAGTTTTTATTTTAAGGGTAGGGGGCTGCATGGTCTCGAGGCATGGTGTCTGCTTAGAGTGCTGGAGGTTCCGGGTTCAATCTCCAGTAAAGGACTTGGTCTTCTAGAAATCCCCCCTGGTCTCTGGGTAGTGAGATCGGACGCCCATGTGCATTGCTGCGCACATACAAAATCTCTTGGCAGTTGGAAATCTAAAATAGTAGCCTAACGGCACTGCAAGGGCAAAATTTGGAGTTAATAATCTACCTAAAGTATTTCAGGATCCTCGCCGGTGCTACAGAGTCTGTGCACTGTGCTGAGCTTCTTCAGACTCAGACGGAGCACTTATGGGTTATTACTCGTGTGCTTTGATGTTGGTCCATTGTTCAAACTTCAAACTTATTTTAAGGATTGTTTATATTTTTCAGGCGCTCTAAAGCAGTACCTGAGGGAGCTGCCAGAACCCTTACTCACCTTTCAGCTATATGATGATTTTATTCAGGCTGCCATGTTGTAAGTGTTATAATTATAACAATATAATTAGACTTCATTTGACCTTTTACAGAAAACTGGTCACTCAATAAAATCAAGATATGAAGACATGAAATGCTGCTGAGTTTTTTGTTGGGGAAAACTAACTGAAATAAGAACAGGGTTGTGATTTGCCCCCTCTGTTATTCTTATTGACTACAGTGTGGATGATGAGGGATGCAACAGTTACTTTTAGAAATTAAAATCAGTGGAATCCAGCAGAACAACTTGATGATTTGTTCTTGCATGAGTGACCATGCCTTTCTGCATCTTGGGATCTTTAACAGCATCTGTCAGTTTGTATACCTTACCTTGCCATGAGAAAGTCTGTCCCGAATCTTCTTTTGTTGTCCTCTGTCCCTCTTTTCATAAATGTTTCAAGTAGAAATTCTCTCTCTTCCCCCCCCCCCCACCCCCCCCCCACCCACCCCCACTCCATTATTTCTTTTGTCATAATTGTTACCAAAGAATAACCACCTGTGTCTGATGTTTGTGAAAAGCTGAAGCTGTCTTCACATTTTAGCCTCTTTCAAAACATTTAAATTATTCTTTTGGCTCTACATATAATTTTAAGCAATCTTATGCAAAACCGTATCTCTGAGGTCTCCAAGAATATTTTGGCTTGTTTACTGATTGTACAGGATTCCCGTCTATTAGTTAAAACTGGTTCTGTATAACATATGATAGCCATACACTTATGATTTGGTTGTTGTGGATGTTGCTTCCATTGGGCAGCTACTGAAAGGGATTGAAATAGATATAACTTTTTTTTTTTCCAATAAATTGTTATCCCTGATAGAGTTTTTTTATTTTTTAGTACAAACTTATCCTTTACAGACAGGTTTTTAGGTTTCTTGATTTATTAGGAACATCCCAGCCATGTATTCCCAGAGGATTTAAAGTGAATTAATTATGAAAACAAAAAGTATGATTACAAATTATGTATAATTTGAGGCGATGAAGTTTGCCAGATATGGCTTATTCTCAGATGTGGACTTAATCTGTTGATGTTGCAGGCCACAAGATCAACGCTTGCAAGCTTTGTGGAGTGTAATACATCAGCTGCCTAAACCAAATTACAACAATTTTAGGTAAGTTCTGTATTGTTCATTAGATTTTCTTACTGGGGACTTTTTAAAATTCTCACTTATAGAAAACATGTATGGTTTTGCATGAGTAAGAAAACATTGTAACAGCAGGAAACTTGGAAGAGAAGAGAAGCAAGGAGCACCAGGAAAAAAGGATGTTTAAAGAGTTTGGCATTACGGCGTAGAGGAACATCTATATCAAAAATGTTTGGCAGCATACAAGACAGAAAACTGTGCAGAAACATAACCAGAAGCACAGTTCGGAATAAACTATAAGATGCCAATCATGAACATGGAGAAAAGTTGAGGTCACAGGATTTTGTAATATGGATGCCCTGTATGGCAGTATACACTAAAATGGGAAATATTTGAACTTAGGATGTGAGGACGTGCAAAATATACTCTCAGACAGTTGCTGAGGGAGGCCAAAGGGGCTGGGATGGACGGGTTTCCATCCGTGATATTTTAGGGATTACACATGATAGAATTTAGAAGTTGACTGTTAACCCTGTGTGACATATAATGGCACAACAATGATGATTGTGTACCCCAGTAATAGTGTCATATGGTTTTTTTATTGTTGTTGCTATTTTATTGAACTTCATGCAATACTTCTTTTGCCATATGCCCATGTTATACACTAAGGATAACTGTAAATAGTGCTTGGAATAGATTTTGGATCTAATCAAAACAGATACAAGATAAGACAAAACATTGTAAAATATTTCAAACTATTTGCTTTAGAAATGATTTTTGAATAAGTGACCAGCAGCTACTTGAAGACTAAGGCACCACTATTTGACTAATAAAAGTGAAATAAAACTGCAGTGTGAACACTGCTTTGTACTTGCTTGAGCATTCAACTTCCATTCCCCAGTTTTCATCAACATTCTGTTATCAGCATTTAGCACGAGAACGGATGTGGAAGCGATCACTGCAGCTTGCTGGTGGCTAGAGAATAAGATACATACACATGTCATAGTTGTAGCGGACTCTGAAAGCATGCTGAAAAAGGTGAAGACAGGACTTCTTCGGCAGATTGGCAAGCTTTACTTGTAAGGTCAGGGGTAGTGAGCATACTTTGGATCTTTTCTCCAGGCTATGCCGACATGGTAGGGAATGAACAGGCAGACAGATTGGCTGGATCTGTACCGCTTGGTAGTGAATTGAAACATAACAAGGCAGATTTGGTCAGAGCCCTTTGGGAACAAGTAACAAAGTCATTTAAGAAACTAGATTATTATAGGCTGGAGAGAATGATGCACCTTGGTGTGACCAGAGAGTTCGGCAACACACTATGCTCAGAGGAAAGGCGAGACGGACATACAACCAGACTATGACTGGCACCATTAGTATTGGAACTCTGTGCTGGCTGCTAAGGATGGGGAGGAGCATGTATGGGAAAGCCAGAGTGCCGTGATGGCAGTTCTCAACTCAACTCAACTTAACTCACCTGTTATCAGCATAAGAGTTTTCTTATCCCCACTCCCACCCCCGCTTCCCAATCTTCTTCTCCGTCTTTTTCTTTCTTCTATTCCTTTATCGCCTTCTTTCCCTCTAATTCTTCTTTCCCCCTCTTTCTCTTTTTCTGCTGCTGCTGCTGCTTCGTCCCCTTCTGACTTCTCCTTTATTTACTCCTGCAACTACAACAACTGTCTGAGATCATGAATACCAGGATTACCTAGCACATACCAAAGCTGGCACCTGAAGCCTCTTCAAAGCCTGACACTGAAAGGCAGACTTTCAGAGAAGAAGAAAACAACTGTCTGTTAAAGCATGGATTATGAACAGAGGATTCTGGATTTTCCCCTTTCCCCTTCTTCCCCAATTTGTTGTATTGTGTTACTCCCATGAACCAAATTTTCATCCCTTGTCCAAAAGATTCTAGCCAGTCTTGTCAGATATCTTTTGTGTTTCACACTGCAAGTGGTAGTCTTCCAGTCCACCATTATGCTGGAAAGGTAATGTGTATGATTATATTTAGTAACCTTGGCTAATTGATTTGTTACAGTTTTGTTTTATTCTCTACAATTTCTAGATATCTGATAAAGTTTTTGGCCAAACTGGCAGAAAGGTGCGACGTCAACAAGATGAAACCTAGCAACATAGGTATTGTCATTGGACCAAATCTCCTGTGGTCAGAAAGAAGTGATGCGTAAGTATTTTTATGCATTGTTGTGAACAGTGATTGATGGTAAATAGTTCATATTTAAAGTTAATTTTGAAGAAGTCTTTTTTGTATAGTTCACTTGAATTAGGTAACAATTAAAAAATCAGTTTAAAAGAAAACAGTTTTCATTCATTCAGAAGAAACTAACTCTAGTATTACATTTCAATTATGTGTCTCTAACTTAAGGTCTGCTGTAAAATGATCTTTTTCCTGCATTTGCCTGTAAAAGTGTAGTTGACACATTGTATTGTGGTTTACAGCTGGGCTGCAATTTTACCACCTTTTTGCCTAATAGATGCAATGTCAGTAAACCATTAATAAGTCACATTTCCTGACAGTCTTGTTAAGCTCCCTCCTTTGAGCCTACCAGTATTGCAGAATGTACTCTTAATGTACAACTATATTTCCAGGCCAAACATGATGTCTACAGGACCAGTTAGTGGCATCATTGAAACAGTGGTCACCCATGCAGACTGGTTTTTCCCAGGAGGTGAGGCTCATCATTTGTGGTCACCGCATCATTTTTAAGTTGGTCTGCCAATCATCACTGTTAGCTCCCGGTCATCACTTTTAGCTCCCGGTCATCACTGTTAGCTCCCGGTCATCACTGTTAGCTCCCAGTCATCACTTTTAGCTCCCAATCATCACTTTTAGCTCCCAGTCATCATTGTTAGCTCCCAGTCATCATTGTTAGCTCCCAATCATCACTGTTAGCTCCCAATCATCACTTTTAGCTCCCAGTCATTGTTAGCTCCCAATCATCACTGTTAGCTCCCAGTCATCACTGTTAGCTCCCAGTCATCACTGTTAGCTCCCAGTCATCACTGTTAGCTCCCAGTCATCACTGTTAGCTCCCAGTCATCACTGTTAGCTCCCAATCATCACTGTTAGCTCCCAATCATCACTGTTAGCTCCCAGTCATCACTGTTAGTTCCCAGTCATCATTGTTAGCTCCCAATCATCACTGTTAGCTCCCAGTCATCATTGTTAGCTCCCAGTCATCACTGTTAGCTCCCAGTCATCACTGTTAGCTCCCAGTCATCACTTTTACCTCCCAGTCATCACTTTTACCTCCCAGTCTTTATCTGTTTTGTGGACAGCTACTTGTTGTGTGTAGGCAATGAGTAGAGTAGCACTGTTGTATAGTATCTATCTAGTGACCTCGGCTGCCAGGTCGACCAAGCTAAAAATGTGTAACAGTTAAAAGTTGTTGACATGATGCTGACCGCATCACCCACCAAGTGCCGATTAGACTGTGAAATAAAGGTCTGGCCCTATATGCCCAGTAGGCATGAAGGCACGAAAAGGGTCCTTAACCTTTGCTTTACCTTTTATTGCATCTATCTGATTCAAATAGACCAGGAAGGAAGCACGGTGGGAGATTGCATATTACCCCTTTGTCCTTGGGTAGTAGATACATTGTCTGGCTTTCTTGGATAAGGGTAAAGAAAACCTACTTAAGTTCTACTATGATGTAGGTTAATGTTTAAGTAAATAAATCAGCTGTCAAATGAGTAAAGCAATGTACAACTGTACCAGGAAATACTGTCTTGATTTGTAAAGTGGTTTTATTAAATAAATGTCTCACAGTTTATTTTGCAAAAATATCTGTCATTACATTTTGTGCTATTTGTTTTTAAATGTTTAAGTAGTATGCATGCCATTTTCAATCCATCCTTTTTGGTTTAATATTATTTTATCATTTGAGTTTATAATTGGAAATAAACCATGCTTTCTTTAAAAAAAAAAAAGTATTATTTATGCACTCAATCACACAGTTAATAACCCAAAGTAATGTGCACTGATATTTCTTAATTGTAAAATAATTTAGTTTAACTTAATGCTAAATTTAAGCTTTTAACTTGTAACTTAAAGCCAATACCACCCCTTATTAGTAGCCTTTTATGACATGCTTATAAGGGAGCACTGAATTTATTCTCCCCCCACCCCCCACAACCACTATCACCACCACAATGGGGCAGCGGAACCAACATAGGATGAAAAATAAAGCTCATATTTTTTATGTCACAAACCATGAATGGAAAAACTTCATTCTAGTCGTCAAACTGAAGATTATGACATGCCGTGTCTGAATATATAGAACGACTTGGCGTGAGTTGGTTGAGGGCCTGTGCTCCATTTGGGGCTAGAAAGACAGAAGAAGAAGTCTGAATGTGTCTTAGATGTTTGTCTTGTTAGAAAAAATCTTCTTTCATCATTGATATTGTCCTAATAATTCTTGCACTACATTTTTTCTATCTGCCTAACATAGATCACGCTAATTTTTATGTTACATTAATAAACATACAGTATGTACCAGAAGTAGTAGATAAAGTCCTGGAAGTAAAGACAGCCAGCATGATGTTGAGCAAAACCTGTTATTATTGTTAGTCCTCGTTTGGCCCACATTAAAAAAAAAAACTTGATTTTGGTTTATTTGGCATTCTTGTTAACTTTACATTTTACTGTATTAGATGACTAAAACAGATGGTGATTCATGAAAAAGAAGAAGAGAAAGTATGAGAAGGCTATTTAAAATCTCACTTATAGAAAACATGTAAGACTGCATGAGTAAGAAAACATGTATGGAAGCTTAGTGGGGGAGCGATTCATGAAAAAGAAGAGTGATTCTTGAAAAAGAAGAAGAGAAAGTATGAGAAGGAGTAGCAGTGGAAACAAGGTCTTTAACTAAACGGACCAAAGGTTACCCAATCATACTGTATACCTACTTTTGGCCCACACTGTGGTTTGAAAGCTTAAATTAAAAGATTAATGCTTAGTCGTTAGCTTTCTGTGTTGTCATAGTCTTCACTTGCACCTTCAACATTTCATTTTGAGTTCAATCTGTTCATTGCGAACCTGGTGGCACACCAGCTAGAAGCTGCCTGTTTGTTTGATGATCTTGGATTCAATGCTGAATTTTAGTGAATTTTTGATACAACTGACCTTGGCTCTCAGGTCCACCCAGCCAAATTACGTACTAGGTAATGTCCTGGGAAGTAAAGGCAGCTGGCATGATGTCGACCATATCTTCCACTTGGGGCCATTTGTGTTAAAAAATTTGTGTTTTAAAACCATATGCCCAATGTGCCTCTTGTGTAAAAAGGATTCTTTACCTTCCTAAATCTGTTTATTACACTTATTACACAGTTACTTGCTGTAATATTTAACCCAGTGCCTTCAGTAGCTGTACTCACTGCTTCATTTTTATCCTGTTTAAATGCAGCTTTTGATTTCCACCTGACTGGCCATGGTAGCTCTCCCGCCCCCTGCAGTCAGGCTGGCTTTGTATCTAGCACTAACACCAGTCTCTTGGGATTTAGGCCACCCAGTAAGGAGGGTCTGGTTGAAAATAACAGGACTAAAAAACCAACTGTGAAAGGAAATGATCAGAAGAAAGATGTGACTAGCGGCTCACTGGATGAACCTACAGAACTTCAAGTAGAAACTGCTGCAGTAAACATCGCTTCTGAGATTCATACAGAGAAGGAAGATGTTGGTAACAAGGGGAAAAATCCAGTCTTTGAGAAAACTGATGTAAAGCCTGCACCCAAGACAGATTTTAAAACCAACCTAGGTAATGCTGATAGTTTGTTCCAAAATGCTTGCAGCTTCGTGTCTAGTTTATTGCATTTGGTTTCACTAATGTTATGAAGTAAATTAATCTTACTAACATCTTCCTTGTCTAAAGCATAGGTATGCTTCTAACATCTTCCTTGTCTATAGCATAGGTATGCTTCTAACATCTTCATTGTCTATAGTATAGGTATGCTTCTAACATCTTCATTGTCTATAGCATAAGTATGCTTCTAACATCTTCATTGTCTATAGCATAGGTATGCTTCTAACATCTTCATTGTCTATAGCATAGGTATGCTTCTAACATCTTCATTGTCTATAGTATAGGTATGCTTCTAACATCTTCATTGTCTATAGCATAAGTATGCTTCTAACATCTTCATTGTCTATAGTATAGGTATACTTCTAACATCTTCATTGTCTATAGCATAGGTAGGCTTCTAACATCTTCATTGTCTATAGTATAGGTATACTTCTAACATCTTCATTGTCTATAGTATAGGTATACTTCTAACATCTTCATTGTCTATAGCATAAGAATGCTTCAAACATCTTCATTGTCTATAGCATAGGTATGCTTCTAACATCTTCATTGTCTATAGCATAGGTATGCTTCTAACATCCCTCTTGGGTACATACCAGTACCTTGCTGACCTTCCCCTGCATACTGCACCAGTACCTACTGAGAGGGAACATTTTTAATGGTCAACTCTTTCACCCGAACAGTCTAAATTTGGTCACTTCTTAGCGTTCACAGGCTGTAAACACCAGCAAAATGTCCTAGTTGTTAGTCAACTTCTAGGTCTTGTTCTAGAATTTTAGTTTTGTGTGCATGTCTGGTTTACAGATCTGGCTTAGTTGTGTGCAGACTTTCAGTTCCTTGCCTCTCAGGCACTCTTACTTAAAAGGAAAGCCATTCTTGTCAAACGCCAGTGAGGCTCTCCCCCCCCCCCCCCCCCCCCCAACACACCAGATAGGGCCCCAGAACCTATAATGGGAATAAACCCAGAAATCATCAGGGCAAAGAACACATCTTTTTTTTAAATTTTTTAAAATGCATGGCTTGCTTTTTCTGTCCCATCTAGTTGTTATGTTATTCCAAGATATTATCATTGTCTTAGTGGTGGAGTGGTCGAGCCTCATGCCTTGAAGATGTCACCTCTTTTGTTTACTAGTGAAGCTATTTCATTATTAGTCTTTTGGCGGGCAAACAACTGCTGTGTTGAAAAAGACTGCGTCATATGGGATACAACCTGGTGGAAAGAAGTCAGCCCTAACAGCTTTTTAACCCTTATTGTCCTTTCAGCCCTTCTGTCCCACATGGCTGTAATTTCCGGTGTGGGTTCCAAGACCTTAACTTTGGAGAAGAATAGACCCACTGCCTCCAAACAAGCATGTCACAAGAATCGACACTAATTAGGGTTTTGCTGAAATCGGATATGATTGACCGAAAGGCACAGTTATCACAGCCTAGCTGTGAACTACAACATGTGCCAGCTGCCTCTTTAAGGGCGAATGCAGAAAAAGATATGGCCAATAATTATAAACCTTGTAGTCCCAAGCTTTCTTTGTTTCAGTTAGCCATTCCTTAGCATAAAAATGACTTAAGAGTAACAGTTGTCAGAAACTGAAAGAGTTCATTGTCTCTTGTCAGTCCATCTTTTGATGCCATTCTTTCATGTAACCATTCTTCTTCTTTGTGTCCATTGGCTGTAAACTGTGGTGGAAAGTTATGGTTGTTAGTTCACTTCTAGATCTTGATCTTTTTCCAGACCTTTTTTGTTTGCACATCCATTTTACAGATGTGGCTTACTTGTGTGCAAACTGTTGGTTCCTCAACTCATAGGCAAATGCACTTCAACTTCAAAGGAAACGCCCTTAATTATTCACCTTGTACATTTGTACAATAAG